TTAGGTCGAACTTTATATCTTCTTCTAACATGTCCATTTTGACATGTCTAGGATCAATGTCTTCAGTAACATCGACCATACCTATAAAAGTTGAATTTATCAATCGGACATCTTTAGTAATGCCCATCTAGGATTCGACATACCCTACTTGAACTTCAAATGGACTCGTATCCACTTTCATTGACATCTCCTCGAACTTCAATCTTCCTTGGTCGATCGCATCTTGGATCGTGTTCCTGAAATGTATACAATTATTAGTCCAGTGCCCATAAATATTATGAAATTTGCAATATTTTCGACCATTTCTTTGATCTGCAGAAGGTAATTTATGATCATCGCTCAACTTAATCTGTTTATCTTTCAAAAAAATATCGAAGATTTTATCTGCTTTTGTTACATCGAAAGTATATGTGCGATTTGTCATTTTGTCTTTTACTTCATTTTTCTGTAGCAGTTTACAAATATATGGAGCTCCTACTTTGAGTTTTGCTATATTTACTTTCTCATCAACAGATTCTTCAATTTCTACTTCTGTCTTGGGATTCTCCTCATATACGTCATTTATATACACTACCCTATCTTTCTTCATAGGTTTTTCAAATTTCTTGTATCTTTGTTTCTCATATTCGATTTGTTCCACTCTTCTCACTTTATCGGCTAGCTGAGTCATGTCATTCAATGGTAAATTAACCAACTTCTTCCTAATCGAGAATTCTAAACCTGCAGAGGTCATTCTGACTAATTCAAATTCGGGAATTTGAGTAAAACATCTCGACTTCATTTGTCTAAATCTATTCAAATAATCATCTACACTTTCATGATTATATTTCTTTATATTCATTAATTCAATAAGACTTACTTGAGTCTCCCCCCTAAAGAATTGCTCATGAAAATTTCTTTCCAGCTGCAACCAATTATATATCGAATTAGGTGGCAACGAAGTAAACCAAGTGAAAGCATTCTTTGTTAACGAACTAAGGAAGTATTTCATTTTTAATTCCTCACTCATCGCTATATCTCCACATTCGATTTGATATCGCGCCACATGTTTGATAGTGGATTCACCAATTTCTTCAGCAAATTTGGTGAATTTGGGTATTTTGTATCCTCGAGGTAATTTTGTCTCGAGAATCGTATTTGGAAAAGGAGAAACAAAATACGGTTGGTTGGGTGTTCTTAATTCCACTCCTTGGAGATTCATCCTTTGTCCCAGCATATGATTGTACTACATGTTATTCTGATTGTACATATTTTAAAATCCCTCATTTAAATTTCCGCAAGTATCATTCCTCACATGCTGATATTGATCAACATTTCGATTTCTCCTTAATAAATAAAGAGGATTGATATTAACGTTTTGGTTGTTATCCTGATTGGCATTATTTTCGACCCTCGTTTGTCGATGTATTGTCAATGCATCCCCGATACGTGTCATTTGATCTGCTAGTATCTCAAAACTATTGGTAGTGTTTTGAACTAATGGGTTTAATACTGTAGTCAACTGTTGTGACAACATATTAACCATCTCGAAATTGCTTTCATCCATTTGTTGTCGAAGCACTCCTAATGAATTACTGGAAATTCCAGTACTAGCATTTTCGATAGTCTCGAAATTGGATCGATGATAATCTCTATCGAATGCATATCTCCCGTGATCCAAATTTGTTCTGTGATCTAGGTTTGATATTGGAGACTTCTGTTGTGTTCCTAAACTTTGCACATTCCCTGAATTCTAAGGTGTTACTAAATTTTGGGACATACCTAAATTCGGGGATACTCCAAAATTTTGAGGCATACCTAAGGTTTGAAACGTTCCTAAGTTTTGGGACATTCCTAGGTTAAATCTCGTACTTCGTTGTATTGAAGAAGTATCAGCCCCATTCATATTATTAAATGAAAAACTAGGCGGCCTTACACTCATATGCGGACCTGCATATGTTGTTACGGGGTTTCCCGTGGTTTGCATATTGTTTGACATTACAGTACTAGACCCTAACTGAGTATTTGCTAATGTCCCTGGGCTTTGTTCAGTACTCACAGGCATCGACGCACTCACATTTGTCAATATTACAGACATATTTCCATTGTGAACTTGCCCCCCAGTGTTTGGTGGATTTGGACTATTTGGAATCTCACTGTTATTCTGACTATTCGGTGGATTTTGACTCATTCTTACTACTCGCCCACTCTTTAATCTCATACACTTTCGAACTAGCCAATTTTTTTGTGTAACGAGGCCCCCTACCTGGCGCGCCAATTTGTTTCTGGTGGAAATTTGATCGATTTCAATTAAATCAGAGACTTTGGTTCTAACCAAATTTCAACCACGTAGATTCTTTTTACTTAGACTAGTAAACGGTTTTCAATCGAAACATGCATGAGAATCGAAAATCCCATAGTATCAAAAAACGCTAACAACACAACCTAGTGTGCAGATTGACAATCGAAAGTACTATTTTTGGTATATTTTTATCAAGAAGCACAAAGTAAAGAAAGCAGCAAAGGGTATCGAAATGAAAAGCAGCGCATAATATTAAATTGAGAAATGTAAATGACAATGAATTGAAATTGCAAAAATGTAAATGGCGAAGAACTTAAATGCAGAATTTTAACTTGCATAAAGGTAAAATGACAAGGAATTGAAAGTGCAGAAACTTAAAATTGATAAACGTAAATTTCATGAAAGTAAATTACCAGGGAAAATAAAGAAAGCGATAAAGACAATCAACGATAATGGAAATCCAGAGCATTAGAAACTTCATGATGCGTCGTTCTCCTGTAGATTTTTCACTAGCATTTTTGTTCTCTCTGCCAATTTCCCCTTTTCTTCTTCAAGCTTCGTTCTATTTATAGGCATCCTTCAATGTAACCTCCCAATAGTAATTAAAAAATTGTTACCACATTCCATGTGCACGTCCCTCGATTTTTACCTTAGCCTACGGTCTAGAAAACTGCTTCCACGTTCCATGTGCGCCTTAACCGTTCCTCGATTACTAACTTAGCCATGATTTAGAAAGTCACTTCTCATGTTCCATGTGCATGATAACTGTTTCCCGCGATCTCGATTCCAGATATCGAGTATGATTTCCCTTAACCTTAACTTTACACTCAACACTTTATTATCAATTTCTTACTTTCATCGATTTTCCTCTATCTTCTGATTCTCGATTCCCATTCTCAATTTCCTTCAGTAATAATCATCGAATCCTCTTTTTTTCATTCCTGATTCTAATTCTCGATTTATGTGTTCATACTGTTACATGGTCATCGAGTGTCTTCCAACCATCTTTTTGATTTATCAATTTTTTAATTAATCATATAATCCTCGATTTTTTTCCTCTGCTTTTCGATCCTTATATTAATTTTTTTTCCTCTATTTTTCGATCCTTATATCGATTTTATAACTAACACTTTCTAATCCATCTTGTAACTGATTTTCTAAATTTCTTACAATATTTCTAACTGTAAATAACTGAGTCAGTCCTGAGTTTTATATCAACTTTGGATCCCAAAATGATATGCATCTCACCGGTCCATTTCCCACAATGAATAGCACGGTAGTGTGTGAAGATATATGAATCTAACACGCTAATGATTCTGCAAAGGAAAACCTTCTTTTCCTGATCATACGAATTAAAAGAAGATGCATTAAATTGACATTTTATAATACTATTTTACTTATAAAGTTTAAAAGACTATACAATCATATTATGACTTTTCAAAAAATTTAAAAGAAAATCATAATTTTTTGTAGTTTAATATTTTTATCAATTTATATTGTATGAATTTAAAATATTACAAACAACTTTATAAATTGAAAAGAATTTCATGAGATTTTAAATATCATTCAAAATCCGATGAAAATAACTTTTTTAAATAACAAAGTTTAGATAAAAATAAAATTGTTGATATCAAAGAGTTCTCCTATTAGTCGTTTTACTTTTTTTCTCTTCCCTAATTTTAAGTCTCGTTTTATTTATATTTTCTTTTTAGTGATGATTTTGATTATTATTTTATTCAAATTTTCCAAGATTATATGTGTAATTTTTGGATATATCATAATATTTGTATTTATCCTACACATATATCGAGTTGTTGACGAGATAGATCATCGGACGTTACAAAAATAAAGTAATTTTTTATTTTTTAATAACTAATTAAATTTTTTCATATTTTCTGAATACTATATTGAATAATAAATTTAAAATTATAATTTAAAATACTTTTTATCAATATAATAATAATAATAATAATATAATAATAATAATAATATAATAATAATTTATATTTATTTTATTATTAAATAAGAGTTGTTATACGATGTTTGAAAGGAAGGAGATGTTTATATAATATTATTAAAAACTGTTACTTTTCGATTAATCTAGTGCATGAGTATTAAGGCCTATTAATAATGTAAAAGAAATACGTAGTCATTTAGATACGTGTCATTTTAATAGTAATAAAACGGAATAAGTCAGACTATTTGAATCTCTTTTTCTTTTTTTCATTGTTTAAAAATTAACATACAATATAATTTATATAGACATAGAACTGTTAAACCGATTATCTGATCCATTTTAATGAGTCATTTTAAAAAAATTATCTCAATCCGATTTGTATTTCTAAATCTAATTCAATTTTATGTCCATATAGAATGAATAGGTCATTTGATATGTTTTTAAAAAATATAGTTTTAAATTTTAAATTATATTAATAAAATTAATTTTTTTAAGATATAATAATTTAATATATAAATTTATATATATATATATATATATATATATAAAAACAAAATAATATCATTTTTATTTTAAAAAAATATAATTATTATTTAACAAAATAGATTGACTTATAAATCTTTAAAATAGATCAGCCTAGATACATTTAAGTTACTAATCGAATAAGAAACTATTCAATTTAGTTTAGATCACAATTTTTTAATATTATCCAACTTATTTTTTCGTATTTTCAATTTGATTTCTAAATCTATTTTAACAATTCTATATACAACTACCCTCCCTCTTTACACGTCTACAACTACCCTCCCTCTTTACACGTCTACAACTACCCTCCCTCTTTACACGTCGAGTCTAGACAAACAAAATCACAGACAAAACTCAAGCTCTATAAGACAAAACCCGAAAAAGGTGATCGATCCTAACTATAATTTTGTTGTCTTAGTTAAAATTCTAGATAGTGTTTATTAAATACCACAACTTATTTGTATTCTTTAAAAGTTTTAACGGATAAAACTCCTAAGTCCTATTGCAATGAACTAAATCTTTAAATTATTTCCGACTGTACCATTGGGAAAAATGCCGAACTGTTGCTTGATCTATCTTCCTTTCCAACAATTTTCTTGTTAGTCCACCATTCGGAGGCATTGGCAGAATTATCAGAAACAACACCTTTTCTGCAGTCAAAGTTAAATTCTTTAGAAGAATTAGAAGAGTGACGACAGCACTGCTCCTCTCCCTCTCCAGTAGAATGTTCAGGCTTCTCACTTGAAATTTTACTTCAACACAAATTACAGCAACTGTCGGATTCTATCCTTTCTCGTCAGGCTCTCCAACAAGGGTACCCTGAGAATACCCTGAGATGTTTCCAATCAATGAAGATCCTGATTTATTTGCAAGACATCGTGCAACATCCTCCCCGGGTAACTCAAATGAAACTCTGTGATCCACTAATGCTGCATTGGGTTGACACTCGTCATCGGAATTCGTAAGGGATGTTACCTCAGAAATCTGTTTTCCAACATAGATGGCATTTCTAGCAGTTGGTGCGACCCCATCAGGTGTCAAACACCCAGAGCCTAGTTGTGAAGCTAGCTTAACAGCATCAAGGATCCTGAGCCTAGTCTTGAACCTTGCCCAGTACTCTCTGGTGTCAAAGATCCAGTTCCAAGTCTCGAATTCCATTTATGTGTCGAGAAGTGTTCAAAGCCCAAGACCTTTGATGCTTCCCCTCTGTGGAATTCAAGAAGTGGGTGTCTATCAGGTAAAGGAGTAGAACTTCCAGAAGTAGAAATGATTTATCCAGGTGATATAAGTTGGGTGCCAGGGCTTCCGGGATATTGTTGATAAAGTTGAAACTCATAATTGGATAATGCAAACCTCTGATTTGCACCTTTACTTTTACAATCTTGGTCTAAAGAAGATGCCAACAATTGAGCAAATGGGACCTCAGGGGACGATGGTGTCGTCAGCTGCACAGATTCAGGAGGTGGAGTGAAAGGAGCAGTAGATGGTTCAGTCGTAAAGCTTGAAAATACAGGTGGTGAGATTAACTGGGTCTCGTAGGTATAAGGACCTATGGCAAAATTGGATGCAGGTCCACTAGAAGCCTTAACAGTGAGAGAACTGAGAGAGAATAATCCAACCGGTGACCGAGTGGCAGATGGAGGATCAGATTCGAGAAAAGATGCAGGTGAAGAGGGAGGGACAATGAATGGCATTACAATGGTTGTTGAAGGATTTGGTGCAGTAGCAGGATGAGATCCAACTTGACCCATTGTTTCGACAGGTTCAGGAACAAGGACAGCGTTGCCAATTCTCTTGCTGTTTTTATGGGGTCCAAAACACCAATATAAGCTCCAGCAGCTTCCCCAGCGCTTTTTCTGCAGTTAAAAAAGAAACATATCAATATTATAAGTTGAAACCAAATTAAATCACGTATTCATTTGCCAATAGTGATCATGTAATATAACTTTTTCTACAAGGAAGCTGTTGATTTTTTCATTAAACATCAAGCAGACTTAAGTGAAATGATTCCAATTAATTACATGTTTGAGAAAGAGATTTAGAGAAGAAGAAAAAAGAAAGATACTTCTAAAACACAATTAAAATTGGTGTAATGTTTCACGAAAACGTACTTTTGCCAAAAGTGAAGACATTGCACAGATAAGGAAACAATAAATAGAAGAATGTCGAATTTTCTGATAGCTAGTCAACGTACACTTGCTGGAGGAAGCTAAAACCTATATTGTCCACCTACAAATTTCTATAGTGCCTAAGTGTTTGCTACCAAACCATTGTAAGGAAAGCCATGTTCATTTCCTTATGCCTGTCAAAGAATCAAACATATTGACAAATAAATACCAGGCATTGTGTATGCATTAGCAAGCAAAGGATCAATAAGCATCCCAACCCAAATTCATACACCAACCTTTTGATATTATAGAGAGCAACAACATCAGCAGATGTTAGAAGTAAAAAGGAAGAAATAGAACCGAGGAAAGCATGGCCTGGAACATTGAATAAAAAGAATAGCCCCATAACAACCAAGTACATGACATGTATTAATATCATTCAATTCTGCAATGCTGGATAAAGTAAATTCAAAAATCCATTTTCTAGCTGCATAAGAAAGATCGTGAAAGTAACGAGAGTTTTCTTCTCCTAACATACTTTCATTGCATGTTCAGTTCTGCCAACAGTTAACCAAAAACTATGCTGCTAATTTTAAACATAAACCCAATTCACCAATCTCTAATAGTTTTCCAAAATAAGTTTCAGAAAACTAACAACAAAGTCAACCATAAAGGCCGAAGAAAGCTTACTGAATGTATAACAAAAGTCTGAAACATGTATTAATAACAAATAGTAGTTTTTAAGATGATAACCATAGGACAGAATGACACATTAGCAAGGCCAGTCCTAGGTAATCACTATTGACTATGAATGTTTGTTTAGATTAACGTTAGGAGAGTTTATAAATACTTTTTCTAAAAGCAACAATATTTCTTTATTCATTTGGTGCATTAGAATTAGTTATTTTCAAACTTTAATCCAAACATAGTATTAAAGCATGTATGGGAATCCCTTTATTACCTTTCAAAATTAACTTTAACACAAAGAAAACACAGAGTTAATTTGAGGAACCTACTTTCAGGATTGAATGAACGGTGATTCAAACATATCATTAATCTGCCTAAGGTCATATGTCCACCTTCAAGCAGGGTAACAAATCATAAAAATGCCAAGTACTAATTGAACTCAATAGAGTGGCAAATATGGTGGATAGATACATCATGCACGTGCCTAACTAGATTGAAGTCCTTCCCGAGACAGAAGCAAATTATTAATGTTCAAAAGTGAAATCAAAGGTAGAAGGATTCATAAATTAGACGAGAAAAAGGCACACCCAATGTCCACATAGATTAATTTTCCACTTTTTGAGAGCAAAAATAATAATAAATTTAAAAAAAGAAAAAAGTGAACAGAGAAATTTCAAAACCAGGCCAAAGTCAGTCATTACTAGACCTCTTATTCATTCATTATCACTATGAAAATTGAAAAGTGAAAAAAGAGAACACAAAACCCAAGATCTCAATTTGTCCGCTGTTTCTCAATAACTAGTCAAAATTATGAATGAAATGCAAAATCGAAACAATTAGCGGCATTCACATGAATGTAATAACTACATATTAACATGCACTTGAGATGGAAATAGTTACAAAGGGAAAATGACCTGTGCAGTGGCCGGTTGGATTCTGGATTCGGCAACCATGACGGCAGAGGCAGCAGCATTGACGGTGTAGAGGGTATTGTTAACAGTTCCCATGGTGAGTGGTTTTGTGACAGGAAACCGAGGCTCCGGTGATATGATCTCACAGATGTTGATCTAAAAATTAAAAAATAAAGAAAGGATGATGCCATGCCATGGAATTGAACTCTCTCTTTAATGAGTTGAAATAATGGCATGACATACATTACGTGCATTCATGCGTCATAAATTCTGAAATATAAATTATGTTATTTTCAATCAAATATAAAACAATTTTGTTAATGTTTTTTTTTTCTTTAATCATATTATAAACAAATAAAATTATATACTAAATTATTAAATTATTTTTACAATCACTTATATATCTATATATTAAAATTATAAACATACAAATAAATAATTATTTATTTAAATAAAAAGAATCATATAAAATAATATTTTTCTTGCCGTTCTTCATTTATATATATATATATATATATATATATATATAGATAGATAGATAGATAGATAGATAGATAGATAGATAGTGAATAAATATATTACATGGAAAGTGATATTTTAAAAAAATTCTTATTATTAAATAAAAAGATACTTTATTTTTTTCTTGCACAATTATTTCATTTTACTTTATATCTTAAAAATGAAGGGAACCTTAAATAATAGAAAATTTAACTATGAACTATTGAAGTGATACCCATTGTACACAAGTTTAGACTCTACTACTAATAAATAAATAAAAATCTTAGGTGATCCTTAAAAAAAAAATAATAATAAACAACTCCACTGAAATCTATAAATAAAATATATTAAATTTGATCTCTAAATTTCTTCTGAAATTCAAATATTATTTTTTAGAAAGTGATTTTGAAGTGCACGTGCACATGTCCACTTATATTTTGGTGACAAATAAGAATAGGTTTTCATGATTTGATGACACACCATTCAAGCACATGATACCCTTTTTATTTTGAATTTGCACTTTATTTTCATCATCTTCTTCACTCATGTGTTACGACAATCAACTTTTACTAACATAATAACCCCACTTTTTAACTAATCTTCAACATTAAAAGGTTATTGAACTTATCAGTATATTCATCCATGTGATGATTATCCCCAACTTATCATGAAAAATCAAACACCACAAAAGGTATTTAAAAATTTATTGAATTATTAAGATTTTGTGTTTATATTTTTTTTTTTTAAATTCACTTTTACATATGATTTTGTTGACTTTTTTTTCTACACCATTACATACTTACTCATAGGTAACATTGCTAAGTAGACAATAAAATTGATTTATTGACTAATACTATCAAATATATGTATTTATTCATAATATTAAAACGACTAAAAAATAACCTATTTACAAAATTTATACACTCCATTTTGTCTAGAGTCCTAACCTTTTGGCAAGTTAAATTTTACATAGATTTATATAAGTTATTGCTTATAATAACTTGGATAATTTACTTTTCTTACATAAAGTATTTTTGAATTAATTTAGTTCAGTTTGATTATTGTATTATTTTTAGTTTGAATGTAATAGTTTTCAGTTTTTTTAGTTCTTACAATTAAGAGGGCTACATTTATATCAAATATCAATTTATATGCTTCACTTTGTAGATTTACTTTTTAAAATGATAAAAGATAAAGAAAAAAAATGAAGAGAAAAAACTACTTTATAAGTTACTTCATTGATTTGTAGGGTTAGTGTGTTCATATCAAGTCACATGCTCCAATTTAACAAGTAGGTGCTTCTTTATCTACATATAAAAAGAAAATATTTTTTAAGCCTTTGAGAATTTGGTATTTGTTTGGTTATATTATTAATATTGTTATATGTATTATAGTGATTATGAGGTTTTATATAGTAAAATTTTAAACTGTACTTTTTATAAATATTAGTAGGTTTAATGAAAAGGTAATCTAATTTTATCTCCATCATTCATTATTGTAAAATATTTTTCCAGTAATTAATTTTGCGTTTTAGAATATCTTTACAAATATTCTTTCTCCACCAGTTACCTAGAACGAGAATTTACTCTCGAAAGTATCGGAGTAGAAATTTTGAGAAGATCCAAATAAACTTGAAAACGAAGATTAATATTTATGACGTAAGATTTAGGGTTTAGAATTAGAATTCAATCATATAATATCACTGTCCTGAAAAAAATTGGATATTATTTTATTATTATTAGAAAATGTTTACTTGGAATATAGGAGAGAAAGTAAGCTATATTTTAAAAACAAGAAGATAAAATGTGAAAATAAATAGTTAAAACAAAATACATAAATTTGAAAGTATGGAAACAGAGTGTGTAATTTATTTTTCTTGTCACATAATAGTATTTATTAGAAAGAGAGTAATGCGATTTTTTTCAAAAACATTTATTAAAAATTATAAAAAAGTTGAATGGTTATTTATTAAATCTTATTTACAATTTTGTAGTTTTTAAAAATATTAATCTCTGAATAAAAATACGTTGGGTAAATGTGTTAGCATTAGAAAGGTAGGCCCAGTAATCGTCGTCACCTTGGACTTGTAAGAAGTGACACTTGGCAGACATGGGCTTTTGAAAGCCATATTGCGAGCCCAATATTGTGCGTAAATTAGCCCGATCGGAAAGACATGTTCGCTCAAAAGGGTTCAATATTAGATTACTAATAATGATGTCACGTGGAAGGAAATAAATCGATATTGTTATTAGTTATTACGTTAATTGATTAATAATTCACACAAAAATTACAAATTACAAAAAAAAGGTTAATTTTAACTTTATCTATATATCTATATATATAATAATATTTCAAATAAATATGTTAGATTTAAGATCAAAACAAATAAAATGGATAAAAAGTAAGAATATTGATAACTGATAAAAATATAATTCAGTTATAAAAAACCTATTACCCGAATATTTGTAGTAAGATAAAATGAAATAAAAATTATTAATTAAAATTAATATTGTAATTAATTTAAATTTATTATATATATATATATATATATTTATTTAATTGTCACACTTTTTAATTATTAATATTCCATTTCTATTACAAATAAATTACGTATACCTTTAGAGCAAAATCCTTTTTAGTGCCTGCAGCAAAAATAAGACAATTTTTATTACGAAGGAAGACAAGATTGGGGGAAAATTGGAAAGAAAATCTCCACATTAATAAGCGCAGATATCCATTTTGCAAGTAAAAATTAACAAGCAAATAATATAAATTCTGATTAAGTGACTATGATCTATTTGAAGAAATTTACTTAAGTATTTTTGAGTGAAACAACTAAAAAGAAAAAAAAACTAAAACTAATTTATTTAGACCTTTGAAAATCATTTTTTAATATGAAAAATTAAAAAATAGTTTATACATAAAAATAAAAATAAACAAAACGATTATTTTAAAATTCTTGCAGTAAAAATACAATATTTTTCATGACAAAGATTTTTGGGAAAATTGGAAACAAAAACTTTTGATTTGACGATTGAATTGGAGATAGGATTGTTTGTGCGGGCAAGGCAGAGTCGGTCATAGTTCAACATTTAGTCCTAGAAATGACACGATCCTTGGCAATGGCTTCTTCATCAATGTTGTGTCCAAAGCTGGGGAATTGGGCAGTGTCACATGCAAAGTTCCAAGTTTTTCAAATCTCTTCAAAGTTCTCTCCACTGGGTCGAGGCCTTTTCTCACCTTGGAATGGTTTAAAGCATCTGGGTATCTCAGCTAAACCGAAACCCCTTCTTCACATAGGTAACAAAACAACCATGCCACGTGTGAGGATTATGGCTTTTCATGTTTGTTGAGCTCATTATAGTCATTTGCAGCTACAAAGGGAGGGTGTAAGGGTAAGGTGGTTTACGCTTCTCTCTTCGGGGTTGGAGCTCCTGAAGCTTTGGTAATTGGGGTCGTTGCTTTGTTGGTTTTTGGTCCTAAAGGTCTTGCTGAGGTGAGTTTAATTGATGTGTATTCGACTCCAGCTGTGTGTCGTTTTTGTGTTGGAAGAGTTTTGAATGCTTTTGCCTATGTAATTCTCGTTTGATGTCTTTGTAGTATGGCAACTTGCAAAAACTATGCCTATTATGATTCATTAGTTCAAGAATTTTGAATGGCTTTGCTGTTTTAATATTTAGTCTGAGAGATGTAATGGTACCATTAGAAATCTAAGGGTTTTGATATTGGACCATTAGTTGAAAGAATTTGACTGTTCATTTATTCTGTGGTTTAGGTGATCAGGAATTAACATTCCTTTTAATTTGGATATTGTTTTTTCTTAAATACGAAAAACCTCCAAGAAGCCAGCCAGATAATGGCTAGAAGCCAGCCAGATAATGGCTAGATGCTGATGGAAATAATGACCTGTAAGTCTGTAATAATCTGCTTGGAAGTTAATGTTTTGCAACGTTTTTAGTTGAACCAAACTACTTCAAACTTTGTTTTTCTTACTGTTAAGCAACAGAGAAACGGGATGCATTTTTAAAAACCTGTTCTGGTTTTTTTATTCATCTTAGGCATCATTTGTTTGAACTGACTATGCTCAATCTTTGTTGAAAATAGTTATAGTACAGGATCTACAACGCATAGCCAAAAGGCTTTATTTTTTTGTAGAATGTAATTCATCAAAATGAATGTGTAACATAGCCTACAAGGGACTTGAAGATTCCTGTTGTTTCATGTTTTGTTATTGGAGGTTAACACCATACCTATTACTTAGAATGAGCAGAGTTGATAATAATCAGGCTCTCTGTAAGCCATCAGTGGTTCCCTTGTCTTGAGCAAAAATGTCAAAAGTTACACATCAGCCCAAAGGGGTTTACATAATAAGTAGAATAGTTGAGAAATGTATGATATTTATGCGACAGGATAGGGCTCCTTCTAGTTTAAAAGAACTGTGGAATTTACAATAAAACCATAAAATGATAATAGGCTCCCAGCCATTTAGGTCTCAAAAATTGTCTACATTCTCCAATTGTAATTATTGAATGAGATTAACTTCAGATAGTTGGGGTTCCGTCTTTACTGGAGAGGCATTATGGGATACATTATTTATGACATTTTCCAAAATCTTTGTTGTTGGTAAGGATGGTAATCTTTTTTTGCCCCCTTTTTCTTAACCCCTGGGCTTCAAATGAATAACTGAAATGCAGGTTGCTCGAAATCTGGGAAAAACATTGCGGGCATTTCAACCCACCATTAGGGAGCTTCAGGTTGGTTCTAAAAATCCTTAGTAGTATTTTTTTTTTATGCCAATTCCACTAGATTGATACTCTTTTGTTATTGCTTGGCATTTTTCTCCCTTTAGGATGTTTCAAGGGAATTTAAGAGTACACTTGAACGGGAGATTGGTCTTGATGACAATTTAAGTCCAACCCAGAACACATACAACTCCAATGTAAGCAATACAAGATCAACATCATCATCCACTGTTGACCCTAGTGAGTGATCAAGTACTGATTTTATTTTTAAAATTTTTTTTGCTATGGAATTTAGAAGTATTAAATCTGGACAATTTATTTATCCTTATACAATCCATGATCGATCTACCTCATAGAAATACCATCTTATGCATGCCAACAATTAAGGTTACATTACTAAAAATTCAATGATCTTAATTAACCATATCAGTTCGAGTTGATAAGAACCAAAATGTAAAAGTAATACAGATGGAGAAAAAAACCAGAGAACCTGCTTCTGTATTTTCTGGAATTTTGTTAGAATACAAGAACAGAAATGAAAATTACAAAGCAAAAGAAAAAAAGACTACACCCAAACAGTCAATCCCCCTACCATTAGTGAAATTTTGTATGAGGTACAAGTGAAATCAATGAGTTTTCACCACACCACCAAATTTTACTCAAGGCTTGGTTTTATACAACTGCTGTTGAATATGAAAAATTTCCATCCAATAGTTTTGGGGTAGCAGTGATAGGTTGATCTGGGTGCTCAAGACCCAAAATTTTGTTGGCATCCAAGGTTCCTTCCACCTATACTTGATCACGGTACACAGTATGGCCCAACCCAACCTGAAGTTGATTTGGACATGTTTGAATTTGAAAATAAACCTGGGGTAGTTGTTAGGACAGGTTCAGGTTGTGCTTTGGGCCTTCCCAACCTAGTTCTGTCTTATTCTCTTAAGTTTGTTTAATCATTTTTTATTAATAATAAATCTTTTTTTATTAAATAAGTATATTTTATAGAAGATAATATTGTATTTATTGTAAATTTGTTTATTTTAAAATATCTATTTATAAAATATATTAAGTTTTATATTTCTTTTATTTTATGGTGTAACCATAAATAATGGTAAAATTAATATATTGTATTCTAGAGTTGGGTTGGCTCAGGTCTTGGTGGTCAGTCGTTCGGACTTTAGGTCAAACTTTAAGGAAGGTTCAAAACACCCATTTTGTCTATCTCAATGCTTGTGCTGCACCAAGACACAACCTTGATTATGGAGATTTTCGTCTCAGTGTAATGAGGTCCTTCTGCAGTTCCTTTGTTGTCAGCTTAACTGAATCTGTGTTTTTGAAAACAGTAAGCAATTGCACCTCCACCTTTGACTTGCCCATTCTCCTCCACTTCTCTGCCTCAATGACTTTCTCCGAATCTGTGTTGTCAGCACCCTGCTTCTCAACTCTCTCCCATTGCCACATATTTCTCCTTTCCCTTCTATTTAACTCCTAACACAATTAATGACTTACCTTATATTATACTTGCTTGTCATTATTAGCTTTTCAAGTAAGTTGACTATTCGTTTCTTATAAACCAATAGAAAAGTGCATCAGATTCTATCGAAAAGATCTTATCTTGTTAATGAAGTGTTTCAATTCTTTTCATTTATGAAATCCATCAAATAGTATGCACCAAAAAGACGAGTTAGAAAAATCATGTATTACTATGATATATATTCTTATATTTAACTTTAGGATCTTTATGTGATATAGTTTCATTGTTTCACATGCGTTTGCATTGGCTTTTCTTTTTTCCTGCCACATATTTGCGTAAATATTCTATTCATAAAAGAGGAAAAGGAGCTGTGTCTGTGGGAGTTCAATCCCTCACAGCCATATTTCCACTTCCCTTTGGATCATTATGACATACCTAAAAAAATGAAACCAACAGTTCTAAATGAAGAGGTCAGATCTTAATGATTCAATGAAAACGTTCAACAACTTGACCAGCGGCTCTCCGCTTCAGCTTATTTAGCATTCGGGTCCTCCTTTTGTTGATTAGGTTAAGTGTCAACACAATTATGAATCCTGAAGCTAGAGCGGCTCTTTTAAACATATTGTGTGTAGAAAGTATAGGTAGGTTGGAGATTCTTAATACAACAATTGCAGTATTTTTGAGTTAGCACTATGGTTATTAACGCGAGGAAATTGCATGAACACGAGGAGTTTTTTTTTTTTGGTCTGAAGAAGTGTGTTGTAAAGTACATTGTGGTTAGTAACTTCATTGGTATGGCCATATCACCTGCTTGGTTAATAAATTACGATTATTTCTGCCTATAGTGATGACATTCCATGTCATGCTTGCTTTTATGGCGGTGTCAAATTGCCAATATACAGGACAGATATCAAATACCAGAATATAATTTATGTCTGATAATGCAGATGGAACACCAGATTCTACAAAAGTATACAGCTCAGAGGAATATCTTAAGATTACAGAAGAGCAGCTGAATGCATATGCTACACAACAGCAGGGGCAAACACCTCCCAAGGAAGGTGAGGATGAGCCTCAAATCCAGCCTCCTGGTTAGTCTTTTTTGTGGCGTTTTTTTTCTTTCTATTTTTCAACCTTTTCCACCCTCTTTTTTTCCTCTGACTTCGATATGATTGGCTTATTCTTGATGTCAGCAGCTGAAGAAACAGCCGCTGCTGTGCCTCCACCGAAGAAGCCCGAAAGTGAGACGTTACCTCTGGATTCATAGGGATAGGGTGTTAAAAGTAACTATTCCAATTATCACTTCATTGTCCTGAATGTGGCACTACTATTGGTATAAGTGATGGGAAGGGTCACGCAATTTTGTTACCAGGTAGTCATTAGAGTTATGTAAAAAGTAATGGAGAAAACCATTGACAAGTAGTGTGTTTCTGAGTGTATTGGTTAATGACATACCATTGCTGATTATCTGCCATCTATCTCTTAAAAACAATAAATATAAAAAGGAAAACAAAAATATGATCATAAACGGTTTTATTCTTGAATATATCTATTGATGATGACAAAAATATCCATACTCACAAATATTTGTGAATGAAATTTGTAATGGGTATTTTATGACTTTTTATGGGTATTTACAACTCCCGACTCAGCAGGTTTTTCTTAACTTGCATACTAAATGGGGCAAAGGCAAGAATCATAGTTTGGTACTTGCATATGTGTGGATGTGTGTGTGTTTTTTATGTTGAGGTAATTTTATTTATTTTTATTAAAAGTTATACTAATAAGATATATTAATCAAAAATTTTAATCAAAATGAAAAAAAAATATATTTAATTATATTTTCAATATCTATGAATATCCATTAGTTTATATGTAAACAACAGAAAATTCTCACGTAGTGGTTGCGTGCAATACACAATAGGAAATTATCGCACAGTAGGTATATGAAGATTTGCTGGCGGTTACGAATAGAGCATATTGTTGTTATTATTATTTAATAAATGTTTAACAATTACAGAATAATGAAAATTAACCATAATTATGATTGCTCAAGTAATTTCCGACCAGAATTGCCATTTAACCGTTAGCATTATTTGGTTTTAGTTATGCCTTGACAATAAATTCGAGATTTTTTTGTGAACTCCATTAATTTCTAAGGTCACCTCTCACTCAATTCAAAATGGGTTTTTCAAGAGTAAGGATGGTTGTGCTGTGATATGGAGTCATTCTTACTCAAACAATGTAATACAGTTAAATAAATTATTACCCCATCAAGCATTGAACTAAGAGTACAACGAACAATTGCAATAGTTTCAACAACTCAAAACCAAATCAAATAAACAAAACATTCATTCGGCTTACTAATTCATCCATTTGTTTAATGTGAGGCTTGTAAATGGTGAATCTTACAGTTACGCTCCAACATTGTCACTGGAAGCATATATAAAATGTAACTATATTCTACGCATTCAATAAAATAATACATGAAATATAGCTAATTTTACAGAATCCGACTCTCTTTTATTCCCCCGCGTTAAACAATGCAATCGACAATGCTACTACCAAAAAGAATGAACAGGCAATGAGAATAATTTTCTTCCCATTAATATTGGCGGGGAAAAAAAATTACAAGATTATCATCGAGCAACTTTATCCTAAAGTTATGCTACAACATATTCATTTGTCTGTAAGATTCAAAATCTAGATAGCTTGCAGACGCTGGTCCATGAAACCCGTACATATCGATTACTTTATCATCTGAGGGCACTACAGAGCCTTCACGTCCCTTGAAGCCCTCCAAAGGTGAACCCCAAGGAGCTGGAGTAGATGGGTTTGAGCTTGATGCATCTGGGTTGACACCGAGTGCAGTTGGGTTCTGCGGTGAATTCCCAGCAGGCCTTCTGTTAGACCCGCTACCTGTCGTCAAAGAAATGGATACTGAATTCTGCTGCTGCATTTGTTGTTGGTTCTTCATTGGTGACTTAGGCCTTAAAGCCTCTATATCAGGAGTAGTCACCACCAGATGAGGTGCCTCCGGAGGTGGATTTCTTCCCCCACCTCCTTGCCAAACTTTCCCATCTTTGTCCGAAAAACTTTTCACATATGCCTGAACAAAAATCCAATCAATGTAGTTATCAGTTGGGTGAAAATAGACAATGAACATCAAATAATATTGAGTACAAAAACTGTGTTAAAGGCAACAGATTGTACATCTAACCAAGATAGAATAAAATCATGAGCGCTAATAGAAATAAATAAAGTTGAGATAAAAACGCATCATTACAAGTGTTTTTGGCCAGAAAGGAGGCTAGAAGAATGTTGCTTAATGAATGACATCTAACCACCAAATGAACTTGCTTAATATTTATTAAAAAAACTTAAACTGTTGGCTACTAGACTCTGGTTAATTTAATTTAGCAAAACCTTTCCGATCTGTATGTCATAATAGTACAGGAGGGATGATATAGTACAAGAACAATTTCCAAGAATTTAACTTTTAACTTCAACTATTTCGAATTTGGTGCATGATAAACCTCATTCTCAGCTACAGCGAATGAGAAGAATTATATGGTATAAGCTTCCTGATATGCACCACTGAAGCATTGAACCAATGTCTTCAATGGGTTAGAGCCACCGCACAAAGTAGCCCAATTAAAAATGGAGGACTAACTGCTTGAATATATTTTCTAGACTTAGTCAATGATGTAAAAACTGTTCTCAGAACACACTATGTCACAATATCCTACCAGGTACAAAAATGCTCCCCAATTTACTCAACTTCTAAAGACAGAAGATTACAAAACATAAACATGAATTAAAAAAAAAGGTAGATAAGAAGGATCTGCTTAAATGTCATTCAGGTAGTATACTAGCATTCAAATTGCTTACCTCTTTATTAAAATTTGAAGACGACAATTCTTTACCAACAGTCAGCCAGCCGGCTCGAATATTGTGGTCTTCACCAAATAGTTCTAGTCTCCTCCTTCCAAGGGCAAAGTGCTCAATAATCCTGTACATATCTTCAGGCTTTTGTGTTGAACCTGCAATTATTAAAGCAAGCAGTTTCAAGAAACCAAGCATTTTATCTTAAAAAATAGGTGATTTTGGTTTTCCAGTTCAAGTATGACTTCTAAACTTATTTCCAATGGTAAGTTATGGACAAGGTGGCCCTGGTCTGTCAGAAGCATAAAAAACAGCATTAATGATAAAAGTTCCCAAGAAAGAAACAAAAAGCCACATTTGCTTTAGGAGATATCTACTTAATTTTTCTTAGGAAATCACATATTAATAAGGTTTAATAGGAAACAGCAGAGGGGGAATCTAATGATTAGTGCACCATAGTGCACGAGCAGCAATCAAGGATTCAAAAGGAATTGAATGATTTATGTATGGAAATAATTAAGGGAGGAAGTTGAATAATATAACTACAAGAAAGGAGTAATGGAGAAGAAAAAAGACAGGAAAAGAGTGAAAGTGGACAAGGGAGAGTTCAGGGTCTTTTGAACACAATGTTACCTTCCATTTCTGTAATTCTGCTAACCAAAATTACTTGAAGAATAATACACTAGAGTTACCCCAGTTCCCGTCTTTTGGTACAGTTTTTAACTAGTTAACGTGTACATGTTTTGGTTCGGAGAGGATTGACGCAATTAAAATGTGGTTCAAAAATTGGAAGCCAAAGAAGGAGATGATGAGAGGGGGAAAAGGTGAGGAGGTGCAAGAGTAGATTCTGCATTTGATCCAGGGACTGCCATGAAGGATAAACCACAATAGGAATGACACAGAAGATGAAGTAGGATGAACCAAAGACAGAGTGGATGAAGTAGGATGACCAAAGACAGAGTGGGTTCGGGATGACAATTAAACCCGTCCCCGCCCCGAGTTTGAGGGGGAAAACCCGAGTTGACCGGGGACGGGGACGGGTTTGGATTTTCCCCGCTTTAAAAAGTCGGGGGCGGGACGGGGATGGGTAATGCAATCCCCACCCCGACCCCGTCCCCGCCCCGACTTTATATTTAAATTTTAAAATATTAATATTCTAAAAGTATTTCCTTTTCTTTTTTACATATAAGGTCATTTTTTTATATTTCACCAAATTTTTTTTCTTCTACCCACTTTTTAATTTTTTTATCTTTTTTAATCTTTTATATCAATTAATTTATTACATTATTCTTTCTCTTACCTTTCGAGTATTTCACATCTCCTTAATCTCTCCCATCAATTTGTTTTTTTTTTCAATCTTTTCAACCAATTTGATGAACACAAAGTTAATTTTTTTTATTCTTTATCTTTTTCTAAATATTTTACATAAAGTAGTAACTAATATTATTTTATTTATAATTTATATTTATTAGGTTTTATTATGTCATATTTTTTTATCTTATTATTCTTATTTATCATATATCAAATTTTAACTTAATAAAATAATTATATTTTAAAGGATTAAAGGAATTGATAATTTAAATTTTTATTACTTTGAACTAATTGAATAAGAATTAACTTATTAAATATTTCCTTATAAACAATATATTTCATATTTTTAAATGACAACTTAAAAATGAATTAACTTATATATATAATCAAATGTTTGAATACAGTATTATAATAATAGTGTTATAAATATTCAAATATTTGAATACATAGTTATAATAATAATATTATAAATAAAAAATGATTAAATATTTCTTTTACATACACATTTTAATATAAATATAATAAATTAAAATGTATATTTAATTAATAATAATTATAAATTATAAATATTTATTTATATATAAAAAATAGATAGTAAAATTAATTCATTATAAATGTAATTATCTTTTTAAAAATAATATAAATCGGGGACGGGACGGGAACCCGAAACCCAGACGGGGACGGGGACTTAATTTCTAACCGCTGGGGATCGGGGGTGGGGACGAGGATGGTTAAAAAAGTCGGGGCGGGGATCGGGGAGGCAAAACCCGCCCCGCCCCGTTGCCATGCCTAGAGTGGGTGAAGTAGGATAAAGCACAGATAGAACAGTTATTAAGGAGACTGAATCTCATGTTCCTGGATGAAGATGCATTCGGCTGGATTTACAGGGTCAAAAGGTATTTCTACCTGGATGTAAGCTGTATCGTTGCCAATGGAGGGGCGTGTGTTAAACATGTTTCAATAGTGGGGGTCTTGTGCCACCGAAATCAATTCTTATCTGCTATTATTCAATATTTCCAACCTGAACATGGCCCAAAAACTCTAAAATATTCTCCTTGGTATGTATAAATATGAGGACTGAGCACGGTAAGAAATTTGAGTTGGTGGCATGAGGTATTGCAGGGAATATAGATGAATGTGCTGAAAAGGAAGATGTGGGCTGAACTTAAAATTTGTTGCTTGGATGATCTCAAACTCGATGGACTTCCTCCAATTTATTTAAGAAAAGGACTGGCTCTCTTAAAAGGAAAGTTGATTTAGAGCAACATAAAACTAGACTTGATCTTCAACTCAGACAACCCCAGCCCATGTTGAGACATGACCCAATATCTCCTCCAACATGAGAAAGAGCAGTATATCCAAATGGACCACACTTCAAACCTGCCTACAGAAGAAAAAGTGGCTGGAGAGGAGGATTCAGAAGATTATCCAATGATGAGGCACAAGAGAAAATAACCTTTAGGTGTGCCAAGAAGTTCAACCAAAGCACATGGTACAATTTACTTTGATGGTGGTGGAAACTGAGGAACCAGATGACAAACAAGGGAAAAAGCTTAAATATTGGCAAGAAAGAGGTTAAGGAGAAATCCCTACATTTATTCCATTACAGCATGATGGGGATGAAATCCAAGAGAACCTCAAAATTGAGGGGATCAAGTGGTGGTGGGGCTTATAGATTGTGATTTGCACCCAATACTCTGGAAAATTGGGTGGTGGCAGGGGACAAACACGAATAAGATCAGGTGTACTGAGATTATTATTATGCGGATACAGGGCATGCAGATTGTGCCAGATTTCTTACTATTTAGCTTAGGAGGAGTAGATGTGGTATTTGGGCTCAATTGGTTGGGAGAGATAAGCATGAAATTTAGAGTGCTAACCACGAAGATTCAAGTGGCAGGTCTACATGTCATTCTTAAGGGAGATCCATCCATATGCTGATAAGTGGCATCTTTAAAAACTATGTATAAGCATAACATCCTACAAGATGAAGGAGACAATCTAGTGACAAGAATACAGGAAAGAGCACAGTATGCAGCCTAAGCTATAAGAGGTTATACAACCATTTTGTGAGAGAATTTTAGAGAACCCTGTGGACTGCCACGAAAGAGAAGACATGGTTGTACCATTATAATGGAAAAGGGAGATTGAATTACTTATGTTATGTCTAAGCCTACAAATACCCACATTATTAGAATGAGATAAGAAAAAACTGCAAAATGTTGAATGCTAGTTAGATCAATACTCTAGTCCAGTAACACTGGTCAAAAAATAAAATATGGAGGCTGAAGATTCTATATTGATTATAATGCCCAAAACAAGGACAACATACCAAACAAAATCCCAATTCCAACAATAGACAAGTTATTGGATGGGTTGGTTGTAGACATTATTTTTTCAAAACTGTCTCTCTGATAGAACAGGATCAGAAGTGATAAGAAAATGGGAAATTTATTGAAATCAATCCCCCTTTTGCAGCAGTATAAGGACCCCTAGCATTTGCAGTAAAAAAAGGTTTCACCAACAAGAATTCCATAGACTTCGAGATGAGGAGAGAATCAACTAAGACAAATGGGAGGGGCAAAGTGTAGCTGGAAATGCGAGAGGGTAGTTTTGGCTCAACCAAGCAGTCATTTCACTCAACTAAACCAGTCTTAGTAGTAGTCTAACCTAATATTTCCAACGCTTCGTACCCCCATTTCTTCTTTCTTAAGGTAAGGTAAAGGACCAGTGGGTGGTGGGAGCATTCTGCCGGCACTTTGGCTTGACCAAGATGTCTTACGTCCTCCAAGTCGCACGGTGTTTTAACCGGAGAACTTCTTGCATAATTCATGCTTTTATGATCAGAAATTTGTTCAGGAATGGATAAGAAAATATACTATTGCAGAAAATGTATCTCGGGAAGAGACAAGAGAGAGAGAGAGAGGGTAAATTCAAGTATGAAGACATTAAGATTTTTATTTTGTTGGCACAATTGATGATAGATCAAAATACTAACCATAAGGAGGTTCTTCAGCTATAATGACATCTGTGTCAATATTAGCATGAATTATATGTCCATCAGTACTTCTACGAACAGTTCCTTTTATGCCCATCAAGCAGTGCTCCTTCACCATATGAAAACAGAACAGTTTAAGAAAGCATATTAACGTAGTAACAAAATAATATACATAATAAGCTCAAATGTTGATCTGAACCTGTTCATGTACATGAGACTAATTTTAACAGACCTTTGAATGTTGAAATAAAGTATGTGAATCATGCCGCAGTCCTGGAGTTGCATTACTTTTGTTTGTCTTTACCCAACATATATCTTCACACCTACGAAATCCCCACTGTACAAACCCGCCCCACCAATAAAGAGAAAAACAGATAAAGATGGAAATTAAGCAATAGAAGACATAATATGAAAAGAACCAAAACCAACAATTAAAGCTATATGCCTTAAAGAATTTCAATATTTAAACAGTGTACCTTCTTTAGACATTGCCGGCCTTGTTCAAGGCCTACACCATCACCCACCCAAAGGAAGATGAAAGAAGGCGTATCTGCTATAGCCTTACAAAAGGAGCAGAATAAATTAGATGTCTAATTCAAAAGATGGCAAACTATGCACTTATACAAGGAAATCAAGAAGAAAGCAACATTATATATTCATATATAACACAAACTAATATATACAACTAAGTTTTTAAAATAACTCTGATGGAATAGAGCATCCATCATGTTATATGATGAGAACCACTACAAAAATGCAATTTATTAGGCTAGCAAAAGCTTCAATACCACACAAACTCTTGCCACTTTACCTTTTTAATCTTATCCTTAAAGCTAGAGTACTAAACATAGTTTGTAATTAGCCCAACCAGTTTACTCATAGTGATAAAGGCTTTCATTTGCATTTGAAACCTATGTAGGATGGAAAAGCCAAGACTGAGACAGTCTAGCAAAATAATGAATTACACAAACAGAATAATAGCTTACTTCAATCTTGAGATTCATTATTTCTTCAAATGTCCAATACTCCATGTGATCAGCAACACCAGGGGCCCGGTGCACATACTCCTCCCATGGAGGATCTACAAGAATGACATCAAACTTTGTACCAAAGAAATCCGGAGATAGTTCAAATTCTTTCAAATCACTCTTATAATACATAGGAGCAGATGCAGATTTTGCCACAATCTCATCCTTTTTCTGTATAAGCTCTCTAAGCTTAGGGTAGTCCTCCACAACATTTGTGAGCTCAAGCTCCCTAATAAAATTCTGCGGCCGCATACCAGTGTCAACAAAGTTTTGAGAATAATCATTTTGTTCACCTCTGGAAGGAGCTTTCCCAAGATTTCCACTACTTTTAGGAGGAGCCCATCCCCCTGGAGTTTTATCGGGTGGGGCTCCTCTACCCATTGATCCTGAAGGATTAAAACCAGGAGTAGAAATGTTTGGGGGTATTCCTCTTCCAGGTCCTGATTGGTTATAATACATTCCCGGATTTGGTGGGTTCCCTATATTAGCAGCATTAAATCTTGGACCTGAAGGACCTGGGGGAACAGGAGACACTGCAGGTGGTACACCTATCATATTCATATCAACACCTCGTGCTCCAGGCCAAACAGCAGGAGTAAATGGTGAAAGGAAGACTCCAGGGGAAATTGGTGGACCAGGAGCAGGTGACATACCATGTGAAAGAGGCTGCATTGGTCCAGGCGGAGGCATCGCAAGAGGTCCATAGGGAGATCCCATCATTGGCAATGGCATTCCAACCTGCTGATTGTCTCTCCCAGTAGGCCTAATTCTTCCTCCTCTACCAACCCTGTTCCCTTTCATTCCTTGTGGACCAGCTCTGTTAAAGGATCCAGACTCCGGATTTCCATGTTGAGGCTGTGAGCCACCACCACTAGAACCTTGGCCACCAGTACCACGGGCAGATACACCACCTTTTTGACCTCTTCCTCTTCCCCCATAAAAATCATAGTCATCATCCGTATATCTCTCCTTCATATCATCACCAGTTGTGCCAGAACCAGATAAATCACTCTTCCTTCCTCTTTCTTCTTGATGATATGCCCATTCTTCATCATTAGTGCCTGATTTGGCAATATATTGCTGCTGTGCTTCAGTTCTCTTGGTATGGTTGGACATGGATTCTGATTTCCCATAGTCATAAAACTTGGTCTGGATCTCTATCACATCATAATTGTCATTCGAAATCCCATACTTGGTGGATGTTTTAACAGCTTCCCCCCTACTCACATCTTTTCTACCACCAAACCGTCCATGAGGCCTTTCATTGTCCATCCTCTCATAACCATGTCTGGGTAATTCCCAATCTCTGTTGTCATCAAAGGCACCCTCCTCATTTTTCTCTTTGTCAGCATTACTCGGTTGCCTCCTCTTCCAACTTTCTTTCGAACTTTCCCGATCCTTTCTTCTGTCATTCCAAGTATCATCTTTCCCTTTAGATCTATCATCCTTATAGCCATCACCCTCATGCTCCTTCCTTTTAAAGCTACCACTTCTTTCATAATCCACCTCAGCATTTTCCGAATCATGATGGCGTTTTCCACTCCTTTCAGGTGTCCTCGACCTGTTTGAGTTCCCACTTTCCCTAGTACTCTTATCCCTAACTCGCACATGCCCATCCTCCTCTGCATTAAATGACTTATCCCAGGTTTCAGCCCCATCATAACCAGCAGAAGTTCTATGATGCCTGGGCTTCTCAACCCGCTCCTCGCGCCCCACATCCACCGAATCCGACTTCCCCTTACTCTTCCCTCTCTCAGAGTCACCCCTTCTATCCTCCTTACTACTAGACTTCACAACCCTATCACCACCAGAGGCTTTACCCTCCCCATGCTCACTTCTAGCAGATCCACTTCTCTCCCTATCCCTTGAACTATCGCGCTTCCCACTCCTGAATTCCCCCTTCTCATCCTGCGCCCTCCTCACACTACCAGCATCAACCTCATCCCATTTCCTCCTCGAACTCCGGGCCTCATGCCCACCCTTCTCCCGGCCACCACCGCCACCATCACCCTTCACATCCTCCTTACTCACTACACTCTCGTGAAAATCGCCGTCCCCTGCGCGCTTCCTGGCGACCTTATCATCCAATTCCCCATCTTCGTACCAACTGCTCAACTTCTCCAACGTGCTCTCCTCCTGCCTCTTCTTGGCCCCTTGCTTCGAACGTGAATCATAATCGTCGCCATCAGTCCTGCTAGAGCGCTTCCTCCTGGCGCCTCCGTCAGAACCCTCGCCCTCGTCCCCATTGCTACCGAACTTCCTAGACCTATCCTTCCTCTTGTCGCTAAACTCCCAATCCTCGTCGTCCCTCTCGCGTTTGGAGTAACCGCGACCACTGTCGCTCGAATCCATCCCCAACTACCAAAATCTAAAATCAATGTGATTCTCTACAGCTTTCTCGCGGGCGCACATGAATTCGCCCAAACTACTCACTCTGCTGGGGTTTTGCTTAATATATGTAATTTGTATGAGAAAATATATGAAATATTAGGGGGGGGTTTCGCTCACAAAATTGTGATGGGGAAAAGGTGGGGCTTACCGGCGAATGGGAACGGAGATTATTGTTGTTGTTGACAGTGGGTAGCGAGAGAGTAAAGAGGGAAAGGAAAGAAAGAAGAAGAAAAAAAAATGGGTCCTTACTTTTCGTACTTCTGTACCAACGATACGGCGTCGGAAGCTGTCTGGTGAAGCCGAAAATTACAAACCTAGTTTGGGCTGGGCCTAACTATTCTAATGCTCTGCTTAAAAAATATAATAAAAATAATATGCTTAAATATGTCTCTACAATTGTGTTTGACAAATAAGAATCAATCATCTCAAAAACTCAATTTTGTTCTTAATTATATTTTTATTTACTATATTTAATTTAATAATATATTAATTCAAGTTTTAATAAAGTACTTCGGTTTTAAAAATATAAAAATGTGACCATAATTTATAACCAATATAATCTATAAACTAATGACATTAAACCTACGAAATTATTATACTATCCTATCTTTTAATGAAATAAACAACTTATTAAATTTAAAAGGGTGACATTGATGCGTTTTTTTTAATTGATAAATTTGATTTAAACAAATAAATAATAAAAAATCATATTTTTAAGATAAATACATAATAAACATAAAATATTTACATAAAGAGTTATAATTTTTAAGAACGAAGAACTCCTATAAATAAGAAATAATTTCATCTCTTCTGTGTTCACAATTCAAGAATATTTGTTTAGATAAAAATAAAAATAGTAGAATAAGATATTTCCTGTAATATTCATCTAGAGATATAGTTAATATGTTTCTTCTTATATTTATATAAAGTTTTTTTTTCTTTTTTATATCATTTATTATATAAAGGGTTTTTTCATTATTTTTTTTATATTATAATTTCTCAAAATCAAAATTATTAGTTTCAGTTCTGTTTGATTAGATATTTTAATAATGTATAAGATAATATTTTATCTTTATTTTTTGTATTTATATAAATAAAATAAATTATCATTTAATTAAGTTATTTTTTAATATAATAAATAAAATTATATAAATTTAAAAATATTATATATATAGTTAAAATTGATTTAAACATTACATTTTAATTCATTCTAATAAAATAATGTCATATAATAATAATAATAATAATAATAATAATAATATAATTCTTTCTAATATGTTTCTGTGATCATCATTATAATAAAAATGTTAATAAATAATAAACTGTAGTCTGGTTTTTTCCAAGAATTAATAATAATAAATTTTAAAATTTGAAATAAAATAATATTATAATACAATTTTTTTGTTTCTCTTCGTCTCTTCAACTGACAAGATTCGATTTTTTTCGCGTAGCATTATTTTAATATAAAATTTAATATATAGTATAATATAATTATTATTTACACGAATAACACAAATTTTTTAAAAATCAAACATTTTAAATAAAAAATAATAATTATTAAAAAAATTATGTTTTAAATCCATTAAAATATATATATATATATATATGTATTAAAAATGTTATTTATATAATTATATTATTAATATATTTTTATAAATATAATAAATACAAATATATTTAATATATATATATAATATTTAAATATTTATTTATATAATTATATCAAATTAATATAAATATTCTTTTTATCTATCATAAATATATATTTATATAATTATATGTTTAATATATTTGTATAAATATAGTAAATACAAATATATTTAATATATATATATATATAATATTTAAATTTTATTTAATATAAATTAGTTGAAGAAAAAAATTGATAAAAATAATAATTTATAGGAATAATAAATCAAAAATAAATTTATATAAGATATTGTATGAATAACATTTATTTAATAATAATTTTGATGTAAAAAATTAGAAAAATATAAATAAATTACAATATTACAAATTTAATATTTAAATAAATTTAATAAATATAAATTTATAATATATATATATATATAATAAGATATTTAATAAATATATATATATATATATATATATATTTGTATATCTAAATTTATTTACCATTCACATGATCACCTAACTCTTTTGTCACTCACATGTCTACCTAAACTCTCTTACCACTCACATGGCTATCTAACTCTCATGTCACTCACATGCCTATTTAAACTTACTTACCTCGCATGATCACCTAACTCTTATATCACTCACATGTCTACCTAAATTCTTCTACCACTCACATGACTATCTAACTCTCATGTTACTCACATGTCTACCTAAATTTTCCTATCACTCACATAACTACCTAACTCTCATGTCACTCATTACTATATAAAGTTTACTTTATCATCACTTCTCACACCAATTACTCATACATTACCATCATTTCTCATACCAATTCCTCATAAGTTCAGATGTCCCCTATCTCCTCTCTAGTCTTCTACACTTTCATCATTTTTATTGTTTTTTCTTTCATATGGATTCTTTCATTCGAGCAGTTATTTTTTATAATGGTGACATTGTGACTTGCCCTCAAACGGGGGTGTTATTTCGTAGTAACAATGTTATCATGATGCGTATTCATAAAGGAATGACATTTGAGCATTTCAAACAAATAGTTCTACAAAAATGTGGTCGATCTCCCCATGAACAACTTTCAACCATCACGTACAGATACCACATCCGAGTTTATGGCTCAGATGTGTATTACACTGCAACTACGCTTCAAGACGACGAAGATTTACAAGGGCTAATCGACATACAAAACGCAAATCCAACATTGACCGGAACTGAGATATGTACAACCTACCATAGAGGTAATATTTATGTTCCTAACCAATACCAAAATCAACACCATCACTCACAAATACAACCCACAACACAAACATTTGATTTGAACAACACCTATTTAGGGCAATGGGAAGTTGATGTACAATCATACAACCAACTTCTAACTGGTCCATCTACATCAAATGTTTTTCCCTCCCTCACCAATGATATCACAACATCATTACCTTCTTTTTTACCCAAAAATGAGATTTTAGGATTTCCTTCAGCATCTTTAGAACCTTTTAGTGATGATGAGGATGACATTCTCACACAACATGCACATGAGGATGATGACAACTTAGAGGTTCCTCCCATACAACAACAATCTCAACATCATTTACCCCATCCATACATCCCTCCCTAACATTTTGAAACCTATACCACACTTCCTTATGAACAAAATAGTGAGTTTGGTGATGCATTTGACCATGAATTAGTGGAACATCCACCTGGATCATTATTTAAGGGAATGCGGTTCCAAAACAAGGAAAAAGTAGTTGACGCACTTAACAGATTTTACATCATAAATCATTGTACCTACAAAGTCATACATTCTAACACTACCAGATTAAGAGTGCAATGTGTTGAGAGTCATTGCAATTGGAAGTGTCAAGCGATCTTGCGCACCAATGAACAATTTTGGGAGATCCTAAAGATAGAAGGAGCCCACACATGTACTACGCCTTTGATATCACAAGATCACAATAAGTTGGGGTCACACATAATTTCACAACATATTCGTGAAATTGTGGACGCAGACCCTTCTACCCCTATTGCAACTATTATTGCTCATATCAAATCCTCAGTTGGATACATTGTGACATACAGTAAGGCTTGGTTAGCAAAGCAGCAAGCAATTGAAAATATCTACGGCAATTGGAAAGAATCATTCAACAAATTGCCTAGTCTATTACAAGTCATGTCACAATTTCTTCCCGGTTTCTACTACCGATTGACCACACAACAACTATCTTTTGTCGATGACAAGATATACTTTAAAAGACTATTCTGGACCTTTAAGCCATGCATTGATGGCTTTCGGTATTGTAAACCACTAGTCCAAATAGATGGGACATTTCTATATGGCAAATATAGGGACACCCTACTACTCGCTGTTGCACAAGATGGAATGAACAATATACTTCCCATTGCTTTTGCAATTGTTGAAGGTGAAATTGCAGATGCTTGGTTGTTTTTCTTAAAAAACCTAAGGAGGTATGTCACACCTCAGGATAACTTGTGCTTAATTTCGGATCATCACAACTCAATTCATGCAGCGTACACAAGACCTGAGAGTGGATGGACTGATGGTAACTATATGCATGTGTACTGCATTCGACATATTGCACAAAATTTTATGAGAAGATTAAAAAATGCAGCTCTAAAAAAAGACCTTATCAATATGGGTAACAACTTTTATTCTATCTAAATTGTTTTACTATGTCATTTTGTTTATTCTATGTTAACTTTTATTACTTCAACATGCAGCATACGCAATGACTGAGCCAAGAGCAAACTACTACTACAACATCATAAGACAAGCCAATCCAGAAGCAGCAACCTGGATTGACGAAATTCTAAGGAATAAATGGGCACTTGCATATGATGATGGTAGAAGATGGAGTCATCTAACAACCAATTTAGCTGAATCCATCAATTCAGTCCTAAAGAAAACAAGGAATTTACCAATCTCCTCTATGGTCATGGTCACATACACTAGATGCAACAAATTTTTCACAAAAAGAGGGAGGCAAATCACAGCAATGATTAATGTTGGTCATGTCCATTCAGAAGTTGCATCAAAGGTCTTACAAGATGCTTATACAAAATCAAACACTCATAAGGTGCTGGAATTCGATAGAAGCAGCACAAGATTCTTGGTGGAGGAGATCGCCAACCCAAGAGAAGTTCGACCGGCTGGTAATTTTGTTGTTAGACTAGATGAAACTTGGTGTGATTGTGGGAAGTTTCAAAAACTTCATCTACCATGTTCCCATGTGGTTGCAGCATGCAAACATGCTCACCATGATTATGAGATGTACATCAATCTTGTTTACAGGTTGGATGTAGTCAACAAAGTGTATGACAATTTGTTTGGGGAGCTTAGGCACAAAGATTATTGGTCATCATATCAAGACCCACAACTTTGCCCCAACCCAGCAACAAGAAGAAGTTCTAAGGGTCGTCCAAAACACGAATTAGGACTGAAATGGATATCTGCGAAGAAGGTCACCAAAAGAAATGTTCCTATTGTCACACTCTAGGTCACACAAGAAATCATTGTTTACATAACCTGACTTTAAGGGATCAACTTCTCATAGATAAATCTATCGTAGTTTTGTAATGTGGCATTATAATCATTAATAAATAATTATTCAACTCATTTGTGATTTTCTAACTTGTTTATTCATGTTTCGTTGTTTATTCATATTTCATTGATTTAATATTTAAAATATCAATTCACTTTAATTCAAATAGTATATCTTACTCAAATTATCTAATTAAAATTTTTATTTATACAAAATTTTAACAAAATATTTATACCAAACGTATTAAAATATAATAAAAATATTTATATATTTTTATAAAAGAAATATTATTTATACTTAATTAATATATATATATATAATTTATTTATGTTATTATGTATATAGAAAGATATAAATATATATTTATTAAATATATAAATATACATGTATTTATTATATTTATAAAAAATAAATAAATAAATAAATATATATATTAAATACATTTATATTTATTATATTTATAAAAAATATATTAATAATATAATTATATAAATATATTTGTATGATATGTAAAAAAAAATTCTCAATATTTTTATAGACGCGTATCAGTAGATTTGAAGATTTTTAGTATTTTATTTAAAATATTTGTGCTGTAAACAATAAGTACAGAATATTATGTATAAAATTTTTATTAAAACAATGCTACACGCGAATAAAAAAATTTACAAGATTCACTCTTATTTTATTTCTCTCTCTTTTTTAACTCATTTTTTTCTCTTTCTACTTCTTTTCTCTTTTTTACCAAACAAAATCTTAACGAGATCTGAAAGATATTTATTTAAGAAAATTAGGATTGCTAAAATTATCTAACTGAGAAAGAAAGATTATTTATAGTTCTACAATTTTTGTAGTTGTTGTTGATAATTCCTTTCCCACCAGATTATTATTTTTTTGTCTTGGCTCTCTTTTGTTCAAACCAAAAGGTAGGTTTGTTGTATAAATGTTTAATGAAAAGTAAGTGCAGAATTTTTTTTTTTTTACATCTAAGGAGATTTTCTGACACTAATCTAGCTTGGCATAGACTCATCCCCGACCCTTGGTCCTCCAATGTGCAACATAATCGAGTAAAAAATATGCAAATTCATGAATAAAAAATACATATATATTCAATAACTAAAAAACAAAAATTAAATTGAAAAACAACTATTTTTGTCTTCACCATTCTCATCAGATAGATACCGCAGCTAGACTATGCTCGGGACCTAACCGAGAGAGCAACATTTTGACCGAATGGATTTGGGACACCATTGCCATAATTTTACTCAGAACAGATAAAAAAAAAACATAACTCTACAAAGATCACGTAGAAAAACGAGTTTAACCCGCGTGGAGAAGGAAGATGTGTACGATTAAGCAAAGCCAGTAGTTTTTTCAACCTGAAGATCTTGACCTCCCCATAACCGCATGCGAGCATTTGTTTGCTCCACCTACAAGTCCGAAGCGTTAGATGACTGAAAGAAACTACAATATCTCTGAATTCATTCAAGCAAATTTAGAAAAAAAAGGGAAGGAGCAAGGATAGGAAAGAAGAGGTAAATATTTGCTTTGTATTTCAAAACCTATTCATATATATAAAAAGCTCCACCATGTGCCAAATTGCCTCGTTTTCTTTTATAAAATTAGTATCAGCTGAACTAAAAACTTAATATTGCAAAAAGTTATTGTGGAAGTGAAGTATCACTTTTCTGAAGAACTGGAAGTAAAATTCCTACAAAAGTTTATAAGAGAATAAAAGGCGTTGCCTACCTCTTTCTTCCAATTGGTTTTGTAAAGTATCAACATGAGCAGCAAGGTCTGGAGAAGAATTCCACACATCATACCACCCCAAAGTCCCTGAACGAGGAAAAACAATTAACTAGTCTTGGATAAAGGTTATTAAAAACAGACATTTAAGCAAGCATCAGCATAGAAATTTTGCTGTTTTCTCTAATTTTGCAGATCTAAATATAGAAAACTCAACAGTTTGCTTGCACTAAATTTATGAATTTTATCAAAGGAGACTTTGATGGAAATACAATTAGAGTTGTGGTATATTACCTCAACCCCCAAATCTGCTGTATAACCAAGAACGAACCCCAGTGGAAGCCCAAATAAGTAGTAACAACCTACGTTGATATAGGCCACCAGGGCCTGCCACCCACCTCCAATAGCAACACCTATAAGAATGATTTCAAAATTGTTATTATGATTAGATAAAGGGAGGGAGCCGCCTGTTACCCTTTATGAAGTAGACAAGGAAAAATGGTAATCGATTCATACCTGAAATCACTGGTTGAACACTATTTAGAACCATTGTAATAGCGAGGAGGAATCCTAGTTCCGAAACAGCCTCTTGCAAAACCTTACTGTTAGTAAAAATGACGGCATAGTAATCTTTTGTCGCGAAAATAATAGCCATAAAAAAGAGTCCCAAGAGAAGTGACTGAAAGACTGTCACGTAGACAGAGTACTTGACAGCTCTTGGACGTCCGAGCCCAAGTTCATTGGAAACTCTGACACTGAAAAGAAGAAAAACACAAACATGAACCACACAAATTACATGGCTATCTTAAAAACCTGCATTTCAAATTTGCAACCAACCAATACTAACAATGTTCAGTTGTCAACATATTTTCCGGATTTAACAGACAAAAATCAAACTCAAAAGACATTAATTTTGGTTGCATACCTGACAGCTGCATTTACTCCAATGAAGATCATGCCTTCCCACCCATTGATATTCATGCTATAAAACATCATTGAAATTATTAGCAAAAAGGTTACCATGCAACTATTATTTGAATAATTAAATGCAAATGTAAAACGTGGGACTGTTAATCGATGGAGGAATGATTTGAGGTTGAATGAATTCATAGTGTATACAATGCATCAAACAAAATCACTAAAGAGATATTTAACTGAGTCTATTCCCTCTCATATTCCTTGGTTTCAATTTTGCCTCTCCTCCGACTCACTTTTTACACAATCTGATGTCAGTATGAAAATACTTTTACGAAAATGACAGACAAATAGTGAGACGTCAGGAAGCAAATTGACTAGTTATTTAACTAAATATTGATTGTATTTGCATGATAGAATTATTTTTGTCTTGATTATAGTTGCAAAGAATTACAAAGAGAGTTTAATAAAGATTTCTTGTTTCATCTAAACCATATCCTTCCAGTCATATCTATGGAACGTGCAGCATACTATGCTACTCCAATTAGCTGGTTATGTGAATGAAAGTATGATCTCACCATATAGAGAGGGAATCAACAGCAATCACTGCATTGTTGAGGTGGCCAGCAAGAACTATGACACTCATCATGTACCAAACTTCAAGGCAAAGCATTACAGCTGATGCAAGAGAAAGCCTAACAAAGGCCCAAATATCCTTAATAGCCATCCATGTCAATCCATTCCATCCATCCTTACACCAGATCACAACATAAACAAGTTGAGCCGCTGTAATTCCCCAACTCGTGATATCAAATGCCAAAGCTGCACCAGTTAAGCCTAAATCTAACGCATAAATTAAGAGCCAGAGCAACCCAACGTGCAGAACTAAAGCCACAAACCCAATCCATGCAATGACGTTAACCTTACTCTGAGCTTGAAGGAACTTTTGCGTTGGAAAATTAAAGGCAAGTGAAAGAAATTGCGGGATTACTAAAATACTGAAATCCCCAGCAAGATCAGCTATATCTTTCTGTTGACCAAGAAGCTTCAAAATTGGACCAGCAAAAATGTATATTGGCAAGAGCAAAATACTGGTCCCTGATAAAATCACCCATGAGCGTTGCATATAAACACCAAGCATATGAATCTGCCCAGCTCCGAAAGCTTGTCCACATAGCGTCTCAGTTGCACTTCCCATCCCAAGCTACAAGGTTTTATACAGTGTCGTTAGATTTTGTTCTTAAAAAACATATTTCGGTTGACAGATACAATTTCTGCAATATCACTTTAGGATTTGGTTCCTCCAAGATGAAGACACAACTATCCTCACAATAAATAAGAACTCCTATGACAAATTTTGAAACTGTAGTAAAATGAAATGCTAGTGGATTTACCCAAAATCTTAAATTAATTGCTTTCTGCCAAAGCCCCCTTTTTTTTCCTAAATACAAAGAAAAAATATAATTAATATCATAAAAATTAAAAAACCTAGTAAGACGAAGGAAAATACAATTAGCGGCAACGAGAACAAAAGACCCCTCTTCTACATATAGAATCAAATAAAATTCTTGAGGTCAAAATCAGGAGCAAGACTTAGATTACTCTGTAATATATATATATATATATATATATATATATATATATATATATATATATATATATATATCATTTCCATTCTATTCAGAATATTAAGAATCTCCTTAAATAATAAGATAAAATTACTCGGTTTCCCCAACACCAACAAAAGAAAAAGAAAACCGAAAACAGCATAATTAAAAAAATAAATAATACCGATCTCGATACTCATGAACAGCAAAACAACATATTGATTGAAAGTTACGTCGTTCGGTATTGAAGAGAAGAGAAGGGGCTAACCATGAAACCAAAGGCGAAAGTGCCAATGACGGAATTGATGAGAGAGACAGCAGAGAGCTCAATGTCGCCGAGGTGTCCGACGAAGATGCTCGTGACAGAGTTCACACCGAATTGGCAACATATGTTGAAAGCGATAGGCAACGCAATCAGCCACGTCTTCTTTGTCTCGGTCCAGAACACGTTCTTAACATCTTTGAAATCCTTCACCGGCGCGTAGTCACCGTCCTCGGCTACCTGCGCGCCCCCTTCGCTATTCACCAGCAGGGGAGTTTCCATCGCAATCACCGTGTACACCTCCGATCCAACGTCAAACTCCGCACAGAACGAGAAGCTCTTAGTCGCTTATGTGTACCACTCTCACGGATATTAATCCTGCATGCAGAAATTAGGCAAGGAATAACTAAATAAAGACCGGGTCTTTTATCATCAATGCAATTTCCTTTTTGCTCGCTCTTATTCATATATCATACCAATAATATTTTGCACCTATTAATTTAAAAAAATAAATAAAAGAAATAATGATGGTTTTGTTTTAATGTGACGGTGACTTGAAACGACAATATCTGCATGCATTTAATGCACAACAAATTTGAAGTTGTTCTATAGTACTCTTCAGTAAAATATCGCGTTGTCCTAGGATTATCTTTAGGAGAAAGTTGAGATTATCAAGTTAATTTTTCCAACAGTACCTCTTGCAATTCCATACTGCTTCTACCTTTCTTGTAATTTGCAATAACAAAATTAAAAAAAAAGAAAAATCATCTGGATTCTGGGATGATACTTTGGGTTGGCACAAAAAGAGTCTCTAGGTTAAAATAAAATAAAGAAAATTTGCATAAGCTGTTTTTTTTTTTTACATACTCTTTTGACAGTATTTGTTATTGTTTATATAAATTTTCTTAGTGTAATTGAAATTTGTGAGATTTGTATGGTATAGTTCTTTTATGGTATATTTCACTAAATTATTTCTCCTTTAATTTAAAGAAAATAGAAAACTCTATGTTAGATTTTGTCCTTTTATCCCTCTATAAATTCGGTGATTTTAAAAGTTTATGTACTTTCTATGAGACGTAATAAACATTTATTTAATATTTTTATTTTCTAAAATTTTTTAATATGACACAATCATCACAACTAAAAAGTTCAAAGACAATACCGCGTGTGAAGTGCTATAAAAAATCCATGACAAAAACTAAGTTAAAAGCGAAATGAAACTATTGAAAAAAAAAATTGCATTAAATGGTTTTAGTTTAAAAATACTTTTACATTTTAATTTAAAAAATGTAGTTGTGTTAACTGATAGAGTAATAATACTCGTATAGAAAAAAAAAAGTGTGATCTATACTTAAAAAGTAATATAAAAATGTACACTTTAATCTCTCAACGATTTAGGATACCCTATATACTATAATTTTATTAATGTAGAAAAGACTATCACATAGATGTTTCATATTAATGGTTTAACAGTATTTATTCATTATTCAGGTTTGGTCCTTCTGAAATTTGGGGTTGACAAAAGATTGATGTTTGGAGTTTCAGACATGAGATGATTTTAATTAGGCTTTCAAATTTAGGATTTCCCTTTTTAGAAATTTGACATTTTACTCATACCCTCATGTCCACACGAAGTTGCAAGATTTTTCCCCCACAAACCAAGTTTAGTAATGGAGAAGAAATGAGTAAAGGAGACATAATGTTATATTTATTTTAAACACTTTTTAATTTTTTTCCCTAAATCATGTTTTCACTGCATCTTTCTTAAATGAATATTTCACCCAATATATCGTCTCACCTTCAGTACATCAATGCATTGTGAATAAATTGGTAGGAGAATAAAATATTATAATAAATTAACTCAAATGATAAAAGATATTAATTTTCAAGTGAGTTATGATATATTGATAATCTAATTTTTTTAATAGTTATTTTTAAATTTTTGTATTATTTTATTTATCTATTTTACTTTATTTTTTATCAATTATTAAAAAATTATCAATGAAATATTTAAAAAAATAATATTTTAAAATTATAAAAAAAAGGTATAAAAAAAACTTTTCACATTTATGTTTGACAACAGAAGTGTCTGAGATTGAACATAACCTGCTGACACAGATATAAATAATGAAATACGTGTGAATCAAGGTGGTGTATGCGTGGAGAAATGAAAACCCTGGAAATAGGAGTGTAGTTAAGTGTGACGAATGGTGTTAGAGATGGTAGTGGAAAGTAAAGTGTTAGGTAGCCAAAGGAAAATATTGATGAAAAAGTTTGTTGGAACCATTATGGGATAAATGTTAAAAACATAATTTTATGTGTTTTTTTACTGTGTCTCTGAATTTTATCGAATAAAGTTTTAAAATTTGTTAACAAGATTATTTATAATTTTTTAACTGAAATCCGCGTAAGTATTAGAATATTAGTATTTTTATTTTTCAAATATTTTATTAACTTTTCAAAATACTATATTTTCAATTTCCTATAAATACTTTCAAAATTAAAATGACGAGAATTAAGCATATATTTTATTTTTATTTTTTTCATTTTAAGTTTCAACTGTATTTTTAATTACATTTTTATTGAACTACAACAAATCAGCTTAACAAATTTTATTAGGGAGTAAGTTATTGTGTCAAATTGAAAATTTATCTTCCCATTCAGATTAAAAAAAAAAGTTTATTGTCTTTACATGTAAAATAGACATTATATAAAATAAAATAAAAATAAGAAGAATTGAAAAAGTTGTGGAGGAGTTAATTCCACACCGTACACAATATTCATGATTTTCAATAGTTGACAAGGATAGAGTACAATAATCATGATCTTCAAAATTACACGCAGTTGACTTAATGGTCTCGTACTTAGTTGGATCTAGCTATAAAATTAGTTAATATAAAAAATTATTTCAACAAAAAATAAAATACAAATTTTAATAAAATAAAATCATCTTATAAATGTTAATAATTTTTCATTCCGTATTTAAATTTGCTATTGCTAAGAATACTGTACACAATCTTTGTTTTATTTGTAGTGTGTTTGAAATATTAAGAATCTAAATAAATTTGTGTTTTAATTTATTCTTTATCACTATAAAATCATGCTATTATATATCTAAATCTTATTTGATGTGTTTTAATTATTTTAAACAAATTATTAATATCAATTAAATATTGTATTTTTAATCCCTGTTTCGTTTCAATTTTAAAATATTCATTAATAATTTATTAAAAAATAAAACATAATAATGATTATTAGTTTTAAATTTGATTATATATATATATATATATCTATATTTTATTATAATTTTATATTTTTGTGTTTGTGATAAAAAAAATATTACACATTATCTTCTAAAACAATTTCTCAAATTTAAAGGAATAAAATTATATATATATATATATATATATATATAATTAAACTATAAAACAATGTTAGATTAATTTAATTTGGGTTATATATCACAGTATTTTATTTAAGTTTTATGAATGGTTGTTCACATAATATTTATTGATTAAGTAATTAGGTTGTTGACAAAATTGACTTTTAGAAAAGTCTATCATTTTATAAAAGGACAAAAATTACATTTCATTAATAATCCATTAAAACAATAAATCAACATAAATGGCTGTTCACATAATATTTATTGATTAATTAATTAGGTTGATAAAATTGAATTTTAGAAAAGAGAGTTATTTTATAAAAGAAAAAAATAACATTTCATTAATAATCCATTAAAACAATAAATCAACATATAATTAAGTCAAGTGAAATTAACTCCATTTTTTATTTTCATAAACAAATTATTTTTTCATTTGTAAATAAAAATAATATTTAAAGATAAAAATCACTAACAATTATCAATTAAATTGAATGATTGTCTATTTATCTCAACTGCCTCCACTCCAACTCTCAACAGTATCTGTTTAGGTCTTTCTAGGTTTAAAAGTAAAATCTTAAAAATAAATAAAAATATATGATTTAAAAAAGAAACTTCATTAATTATTGTCATTTAAATTGAATATTTTCTATCAATTTTAACATAAGGGTCTTTTGTACACCTTGCTGAAGTGTATGTTTGGACCTTTGTGGTCATATTTCTAATTAGTATTAATTTATATTTATATTTTTTATATTATGTTTGAAATCGCACAATTAAAAAAATAAATATTTTACTAACTTATTTTATATTAGAATGAAATAAATATTTTATTTTAGTATTTGTCCTATTTTAAAAAGTTGTATATTTTATTTACTATAATTATTAAAATTGAGTAATTATATGGATTAAAATTTTACTAACATAAGAGTGAAAGTAGTTAATTTAAGTAAATTTGAATATATAATCCTTTTTATTTTAAAACTATAAATATAACATTTTAATTATTTAAAATTTATTTTTATAAAATAATTATTTATCTGTTTTTTATAAATTTTTACTTTTTTCTAAAATCTCTCACCTAATTCTTTTGTTATTTGTTTTTCTTAACCAAAGTACACTCTGATATTTATATTAGTAAAAAATAAGACATTTATTTAAATGAATTTTTCTTAATAATAATTTTTAAAATTTTTGTTTATAAAGAAGAATATATGTCAAGTTTTTATCAATTGATTATTTTTGGTAAATATGAATTTTGATTAATTTAAAATTTTAATTATATGATTGATTTGTAGATTTTTGTCTTTTATGAATATAATTAAAGATAGTGTAAGTTTTGGGATTTCTCTATTAGAGAAACTCAATTTAAAGTAAGAAAAAAAAATAGTAAAATACCACCTAAAACGAAAATATTTTACAAAACATATATAATTTTAATGATATGGATATCTAATATTTATTTTCAAGCAAAATATAAATATTATTGTACAATATTAATAAAAAATTTGTGAATGAATAATAAATATTGGTTGTTGTGAATGATTATATATGTATAGAGAGAGAGAGAGAGATAGATAGGAAGTGGACATGATCGTTTAAAAAAAAAACTATTTTAAAAGGTATAAAACTTAAAAACTATTTAATAAAAACATCTTTTATTCATTTCAACGTGGAAACCTTAAAACACTTAAAAAGAATGAAAATAGTATACTTTTCAAATCAGTATTGGGAAATTGTGATCATAATATAATATATATATATATATATATATATATATATATATATATATATATTTTTTTTTTTTTATGTTTTGATTGTGATTGGTGAAATCACCTTAACTCTGTTAGTTTATTTTCAGTTTTTTTAGTAAAATAATGTAAATTCTTTTTGAAATCTTCAAAATATTTTTTTTTAAGTGAGAACGAAAAATTACATTTAAAATTTTCATTTTATTTTACAGAAATCATATTTCAATAACAAATTTTATTATATTTTAATCTTCTGTTTTAATAGTTATATAATAAGATTGAAATTGTATGAAGAAGTATGACTTCATTTAAAGTTAAGTTATGTTTATTCAGTTTTATTATAATAATAAAATTAAACTTTGTTTCTAAAAATGACTACAATTTAGTTTTAAAAAATAAAACAAACAAAAAATCATGTTATCACATATGTTTTCAATAAAATGAAATAGTCAACTTGTCTATTTTACATAATTTTTCAAAAACAACTACATATTTTAATAACTAAAAAAAAAAAACTTTACAAATTTTGGTCTTATGCTATGGTTTCAAAAAGGGGCTTGCGATGGGTTAGATCTGTTTGTGAAGTGAATCAATTTTGCATAAGGATATCAACGGTATATCGAAATGTTTACATTCACACTTTATTATCTGATTTAAGAACTTTATCTAAATTTTTTCCTATTAATAATTGCAGTCTCTAGTGATTGTTACCTTAGCAGCATTTTCATTATAAGTAAGCATCATTTGCCAGTAAGAAAACTTAATGCTGTAACATAAAGAAACACAACAAACCAAGGAGAAGAGTTAAGGGGCATACAATTGCTCAGCATATCATTAGAGATGAGGCAAGACTTGGCTCAGTAAAGCCCCAAAGATCTCTTAAAGCCAACCATGACAACCCAGTCTGTGCATTCTTTCACCAAAACCTATTGCATAAATCGCTTGGGAAACAGCATAGCACTCATCCAGTATGAGGTATTAGAAGACATAGATGCCCCAGTTATACCCCAGGACTAGACTTTGAAAAGATAAAGAAGGTCAATGTTCAAAAGCAAGGCCATAATTGCTACGAGCATGATCACATTAACCTTATTCTTGACCTGAAGGAACCTCTTCGGTGGGCAAAGTGATGGCAGAGGAAAACATGTTGGGAATGGACAGAAGTGAATAATGGCCACCGAGTTCAGCTACATCATTTTCTTGACCAAATACTTCTGAGAGTGGAGTCGTATATAAATAAATAAATAAGCGACCAAATTATACAAGTGGTATCTAGAACAATTCATGACCTTCACAGGTAAGTTCCAAGAGACTGAAATTCCCCTGCTCCGTAAGCTTGCCCATAAAGCGTTCCAAGTGTTACTGACATCCCAAACTCTAATTTATTGGAGTTCAAGGGTAAAAATAGAGTCCCATACGGTACAAACAAGGAAAAGTTAATTTAGATATAATTGAGAAAATTATAGCCTTAAGGTTGGTGATGTATAGAATCTTCTAATCAAAAGTAGTTTTATTTGAGATTTTCAACATAATTTGTATATGATTTTGGCCTAAGAAAGTGTAAAAAATGAAATTCCACCTAAGATTAAATAAAATAAAAAAAGAAATTTCACCTAAGATTAAATTAAAAAAATTAGTTTAAGAGTTTATTAAGATAAACTTTAAATAAAAATAATAATTAAGAATTTATTAGGATATTTTGATATTAATTATATTTTGATATTTATAATTTTATTTTTTAAAATAAGATTAAGATCTTGTGACTTATATTTCTCATCACAAAAAATAAATAAAAGTTAATTTTTAGAAATTATTTATTCAGCATGAAAAGACATATTACTGTAGAATATATCTCTTAATTGGTGTCATTAAATATTCGCTATGCAAAACTAGTAATAACCATGTCTTACAGTACTGTAAATCCATTTTTGAGGAGTCATAAATCAGACATTGATTGGTCTCGTCTCAATTCAACAAAGACCAAGTCAGAGAAAATCCTATTCTTATTGTATTTTGGTTATGTTACTAACATTTTAGGAGGTCCACATCGAACAACATTCTGACCACGATGGATTGTTTAGACTATAACTTTTAGAGGTATCTATATCTCAAAGCACGGAGCTGTGCAGTGAATACAAAGCGAACTATTCTTTCGCCTTTTACTAAAGAATACCGTGTATTCTCTGCTATAAACAGCATACGCTAATTTTTTGAAGAGATTTCTTTGAAATCTCTGTAAATGTAGTTAAATTTTAGAAAGAGTGTTAATTTATAACATATATCTTTGAATCTTTGTAATTTTAGCTAAAACTTTGGAAGAGTAATACATTTTGGAAGAAATTTCTGTGAAATCTCTGTAAATTTTGTCAAAAGATATCAATGATGTTAGTTGAAATGTGCTTCAAAATGTTTGTAATTTTGCTAGTGTCTGGTTAAAGTTTTCTTTGAAATCTCAGGAATGTTCCTCGAGATATTTGTAATTTTTCGTCAAATGTTTCTTGTTAATTTATTTAAATTTTTCTAATTTTAGTTTAAAGTGTTTTGGTAAAATGATTTAATTATGTTGTTTATTATTGAAAATTTTAATTCTTATTAAGAAAGGAAAGATTAGTTAGTAAAATGTGTAATGTTAGGATTTATTATAAAAAAATTAATTTTAAGATGTTTGATGTTATTATGTATTATAGGAGAATTTTTGTTAAAATGTTTTATGTTATTATTTATTATAAAAGAATTTGTTAAAATGTCTAATGTTATTATTTATTATAAAAGAATTTTTGTTAAATGTCTAATGTTATTATTTATTATGAAATTTTTTTGTTAAAATGTCTAATGTTATTATTTATTATAAAAGAATTTTTGTTAAATGTCTAATGTTATTATTTATTATGAAATTTTTTTTGTTAAAATGTCTAATGTTATCATTTATTATAAAAGAATATTTGTTGAGATGTTTAATGTTAATTCTATGAAATTTTAGTTATAAGGTTAAAAAACATGTAGTTAAGTGTGGTTAGTTTAAATTTTTACATATTGCAGTTTAGTTATCCATCTTTTTAATTTAACCGCTAACTATATTTGCATCAAGTATAGTTTAGTCTTCAATAAATAAATTGTAATACCAATAGGTGAGAGATTACATTGATTGATACGTCAAAACAGATTTTGCATTTGATACGGATGAATATTATGTCATGTTTCTTAAAGATTTTAGATTTTGTTTAAATTTTTTCAATAGAATTGTGTGTAGATTTGTGTGTTTCTTCATAAGTAAAAAAAAAAAATTAAAAAATTAACAAGTCATGTAGTATTACGTTCAATTAATATTAATATTTTATACATTTATAAATAACTAATTTTTCAATAAAATATAATGGTTAAAAAACATAGTTGAGAAGGTAGAATATTAGTTTTGAGGGATGAGATTATTGTCCTGGAGAAATAAGAATATTATTAGAAATAGATGAATATACTCAATGCAAATTTCTGTAGTTCATGATATTGTTAGGACTGTAATACTATTTCAGCAGCATAAAAAGAAAACAGATTACCATCCCTTACAAAACTAAAAACTGGAAAACGGTGGTTGGTAGGATAAAAATCATTATTGTGTTTTGACTCAAATCAGGGACATGATATTTGTATGCCAATCAAGATTTCAACAAAGATAAATTATCTTCTCCCTGATTTGCTTTGAGACATTAAGAAAGAATGAGGAAAACATGAGTAAGATGAAAAAAGAATTATTATTGGATTGATGAATAGGACTTTTGACTATGGAGATGTTTCAATTGATATAGACAGAGTATCCTTTCCATGTTTCTGTTACAAAGGTCCACATAGAACACCACAATGAATAGGGTGGACTGTTTATACTATAAAATCTAGACTTTGTATAACTATTAATTTGTGCAGCCATGTAACAAGTACAGAGCGAACTATTCTTTCGCCTTTTACTAAAGAATACCGTGTATTTGCTACTTTTAATTGGCATACTTTTATTTTTGGATGGGTCTTTCTTTTTAAGATGAGACCCTGCAAATAGTCTGAATATTATTATGTGTGATATGCCAATATTATTAGATGAAATATGTAATAAAAAATTCTTATTTTTTTTTATTTAATAGGATGCGTATTTATTGTATTTTACAGGTGTCTATTTTATTAATATATTATTTAATTTTCCAATGAATTAATTATATTAGATGTTGTTGTATTGTTTTGTTTACTGTTTTTTCTCAATTATATTAATCAGAAAATTATAAAAGTGGTGTAAAAGTTTAAATAATAGAACAAGGGGCATAAATAGCATCCATCCCCCACCAACATAATCAAAATAGTGATTAAACATATTAATGTATACTCTTGATGGACAGAAAAATTAGTCCTTCAACGAAAAATATTTTTTTAATTATTTTAATTTTATTATTTAATAAAGTTAATAAAAATATTAAATATAATTTTAGTTTTTTTTTTACTTATATTTAATATTTAATTTTTTAATTGGTATAAAATTGATAAAAGTTTATTTTTTATAAGTTAAAGATTAATTAATAGATTTTTAAATAAAAAAACTAAAATAAGTTTGACAACACAAATATAAAAACAAAAAAATATTTAACAAAAAAAAGAGCCCACTTCCTCTCTTGGCCCAACGATGGTGTGTAAAAAGAAAAAACAATTGGAGTATAACATTAACATAAGCTCAGGTTGGTTCTCCCATTTAGTTGGATGAGTGCTAATAAAATAGGCCCAGGTAGTTGTTTTCTTTTTTATGAATAAACTTGTTATATTTTTTTATCCGACAAAAAAAAATTAAAACTATTTGAATTCAAAATTAATTATTTAATATAATTATAAATATGTAAAATTCATTTAAAATCAAATGAATAGATGTTTGGACGTGATTATAGAAAATTTAACATGAACTCTTTGTGGGCTTCCTATGATATGGGTGGATGTTTACTAGAGATGGATAATATGTTTTAATATTCACCAATCATATTTTAAAATAATTAAATATTTTTTTAGCAGTATTTTTACATTATATAGTCTAAAGACACAACATATTATAACCCAAACTTTAAACTTTACAGATTCTTTCTATTCTTTATTTGTCCATTGTTCAAAAAAACTATTTATATTTAATTGTTTACTTCATATTTAAAAAACTATACTGCGTACTATTTTCCTTATAATATTTTCTTTACCTAATTTTAAATATTTTCTATACCTATCATAAATAAGATAAAGTAATGATGAAGATCAAAGTTAACCATAATTTTAAAATAAAAGAATATTGATTGTAAAAGAAATCCTATTTTTTGTTATATTTTTATTTGGAGGGACAGAAAAAGGAAAATGTGGTGATTTATATATCAATGTGCACACTATGAAAAGTTTGCCAATAAATGTTAGACAAATGTTAATTAATGTGTTTGGGAGTGGAAACAGGGTAGAGTAGGTAGGTAGCTAGGCTTTGTCACCACTAGAACAAATCTACAACTAAAAATTCTTGGTCTAATCATAAGACCCTTGCTAATAAACTTTTTCAATGGTTTATATATATAAAAAAAATAGTATCAGTCAAAAATATGTTTTAAAAAACCGTAAATTAAAAAACTTAGTTAAAATAAAGTTTTTTTTTACAACATTAATAATAATAAAATTCTAATTTATTTTATTTTATCTATTTTTGCTATAAATATTAATAAAAAATTATATAGACATACACTTTCAACGTGTCTTGTTGGAGTGATGCGCATTGGTGGAAATGGTGTAAAGTTAATGAAGGATTGTGGCACACAAAATATATAGAAGAAACAAAGAAAGTGAAAATTAAAAAGATATTTTTGTTTGAATTTTTAAAACTATAATGTTTTGTTGTTTGTTAGTGATTGTACCTAATGTTTCACGTTCATGTATGTACCCCACACAATTTCTTTTGGGGTAAGGGGCACCCAAAACTATGGGACCATTTGTTTGGGAATATTTAATGTGTAACTTTTTAAAATATAAATACATATTGATTATAAATCTACATACATGTGATTATTTTATTAGTTTTTATTTTTTAGCATAACTAAAAGATAACTTTAAGGTCAAAGCTTTTGAATTTTGAAATTGAGCGAATCACCATCTTTTTCAAAATAAGTAATCCCTTTCTTATAGATACACACATATTACCGAGTAAAATTGTGATGAACATTGACATCATTAGAAAAAGTTTATAGTAAAAATTTGAGTAGTACTAAAATGTGGATTACTAAAAAGGGCTTGTGTTTGTCCCTCTATACAAATACATGTGATGGAACCTGGCAACAATTCTAAGTTTAAATTAATTGTTAGGGAAGAAATCGATTATGGCTTTGTGGGGTCTCACTTCACCTTTATTGACCATCAAAACCCTTTTTTGGCAAAACAAAGTCCTTGAAAAGTGGCGTAGGATCATAGATAAGGGCAATGGATATTTAACGTTGCTTGGTCACACCCATAAGTTTAATCAATTCTATAATTCTGGTTTTGAAATGAGACTACGTCAAGAGTGTGGCTCTTAATCGGTGTAGAGGGCCAAACTAAGAATATGCAAAACACCTTCTTTAGTCCCACTAACTTTTTCCTCAAATTTAAAACAACCATCTTTTCCAAACACATTCCTTTTTAATTAAAATAATCAAAGTCATATTCTCTACTTTTAACTTTTCTTTATAATGTTGTTTACAGATTTTATACAACATCGTTAATGTAAAATTTAAAACATTTTATATATAAAACTTCTATTTAATATTAATTGATATTAAGTGAAATAATTATACATATATAAATTATATGATGAGATAAGAAATTTGAGATTATCTCAGTTCTCCTTAATAATAGAATATTAAAAGAATTATGTCACACATTTTAATTCTCATCATATGATTTATATATTTGTTTTGATGGTTTAAGATATTGACGAAAACTATTTCAAAATTGACTTAACCGGGATAAAAACTTGTATAAAATGTATTTTACCATTTTATTTTTTAGTTTTTAAAAATTAAATAACAAAAACTATTTTAACAATTATTTTTAAAAACTAAAAATTGAAAATTAATTTTAAAAATAATAAATAAATCTTTAACTAAATATTTTTTTATCTTATGATTACAGTAAATATTTATACATAATTTGAATTATGATAATATTAAGATGATAAAAGGAGTGAGTTTATCTAGTTTTAAAAGTTAAGATAAGATATGCTAATCTAATATAGTTAAAATAAATTATAAATCTTAATTTATTTAAACAAAATAATTAGTAAGTTGATTCAACAATATATATATATATATAAATTATATTTTAAGTTTTTATTTATTAATTAATATTTTTATTAAATAAATTAAGAAAATTATCATGTTAAATAATTATAATATATAATTAAAGTTTAATCAATAAAATATTTAATTATAATTAATAATTTTAAATTTAATTAATATTTATAATTTAAATTATAATATATTTATATATTCTAATAATATAATAAAATATAATATTTTTAATTATATTATTTATTTTAATATGTAAATAAATTTTAAAGATAGATCATTTGGTCAAAGTTAAAAATATTAATTTGACCGATGAATTTAAAATGGTTTGATGGGCTGATACATCAAATATAATCCATTTTCTTATTCTAGATAATGTCACATTAAATAAATTATATAATATCTTTGATATTGATAATTATTTTTTAATAATTAATTTAATATTATAATTAAAATGTATATCAATAATAATAATAATATATAATTAGATAACAATATAAACAAAAATAAATTACACAGATAATGTATAACGACTAAATTCTAAAATAAATAAATACACATTTATTATATAAAATATTAAAAAAACATAAAACATTTTTTTAAATTATATTAAAATAAAATAAAAAACCAACTGCCCTAAAGTTAGTTATCCGTCCTAAGATGATGGGTACTATCATGGAGAATTTTATGGCACGATAAAAAATGATTAGATAAACTTGAAAGTTAGATTATTTAACTTAAACTTAATGAATGGGTATATTACTTAAAGTAAAATTGTTTTAATTTAATTAAAATTTTCAAATTTAATTTTTCCGATAAGATTATTTTCAGTTACAAATATATGTAATATGTAAAATTAAAAAAAATGAGATATATACTATCAGATGAGCAAGAAGACTATACAGGTGGCAGATGAATCGACCCTTGCCACGTGGCAGCCTTGGGTCCAATATTCCATGGAAAGAAAATGGGAAGGTGAAGTGGTAGTTCTCATGGGTTAAGCCAACCGATCTCTTAAATTCATGCACTTATCACTTTCTCAAACTCCTTCAACCATTCCAACATTAAATAAATTCATAATTATATATATAAATATATATATATATATATATATATATATATATATTATATGATAAAAATTCATCTTCAATCTTTATATATAATAATATATAAATATATAAATAAATATAATATTTATCATATTAAATTAATTTTATAAGACTGACTTAAATATATCTAAATTTTTAATATAATATTAATAATATTTTGACGATATTAAAATATAAAAAATCTAAAATACAATAATATTATAATTATTTATAATATTATCAAAATATTTCAATAATAACATATTAATATAAGTTTAGATTAGATATATCCAACAATAATTCAAGTGTAAAAATATGAATTTTCTATAAATAGATTTTATTAGACATTATAGAGTTTTATTGTAAAGATTGTGCCGATAATTGTTGAATAAGATTCGCAGGATAAATTTAAGATAAAAGTTTTGTATTAGACTCGATTGGTGACGGAGATGTTGGCATTGATGAAATAAAATTATATATTCTAATTAAATTATTTTATATTTTTATATTCAACTTGATAATTTTAAAGGGATTGAGAGGGATGTATACAATGGTCCATTAAAGAGTAATAAAATAAAAATTGGTCAATTTAAAAATAACTTAACCAATGTATTAGACATTTGTAATTAATTATATATATAATCATGAATTTGTTCATTAGGTTACTTTATTTTGCCTTTTTGTCCCGGCATTCCTAATAGATTGCGACCATTTTATTTTATTTTTTTGAAAAATCTCAAACACAAATAGTAGTCAAATTTACAGAATTCACTGTTCAGCTAGTGAACAAAAAGCCTCTGAAAGGTAGAAAGTTAAAAAACAGACACTTATGTCAAATACTTCAACACAAAAATGTTTACACTTTAATTTTATTTTATTTTTTTAAAAAGGAGGAAGAGATAGAGAGATGAAGACAAATTTAGTGTGTAAAAGATGTGAAAGGTTTCGATAAAGAAGTAAGAAGGAAAAATGAGGTTTCATATACTAATTTTCCAAAAACTTTTATAAATTGTAATTCCAAGTTGGTTCTTGGATCATTCGAGAGGATTTATTTAGAAGAAATATGAGTTCAATTTACATACAAAAATTTCACATTACTTTTAATTAACAACTTTAAAATATTGATTATAAATAATATTTATTTATATGTGACCAAACTAACTTAAGCACATAAAAAATAATATTTTTTTTAATTTAAATTTTAAATTTTAATCAATATGTTTGCTTAAGAATCGTTTTAGTAACCCAAATTTAAATTTAATTTATGGTCCAATTTATCGTAGTTTACAACACACATGAAATCACATTTAGCTTGACTTAAACCTACTTTATAAAATATAAGGTTTGGAGTTGAATTTTTGAACACAAATCAAATTTTGGTCTTTCTAATTTGATTCGTTCATAATAAGATCTAAACATAACTAGAACACTGGCCATATGGAATCTCTCATTAATTTAACTCGTATTGGGTGGGGGAATAACGGGTTGAAGCCAGTGTTCAAATGGTCCCCGTTAAACTTACATACGAAAGTTAAGAGAAAATTCCTACATAAAATATTGATTGTATCATATGACAAGGGAACACAAAGAATGAGTCTTTTAAGAAAATAGGAATTTATTATTATCCATTATTTAATACAACGTGACAATGGAAACAATTGTCATTGAATGTATGTGAACAAATTCTCACCTTACTAATAGAATTATTGTTTGACATTTAATGAAATGTAAAAAAATTTCAACTACCTTGAAGGGATAGTGTTAATAGTTTAGATGATGAACACTAGTGTTAGTAAATAGTAGGGATCACACTCATTCTTCCTTTGTCCTCATCATAATTCATAAATCTAAAAAAAGTACAGTTTTTTAGTTTTTTTCTTTGAAGTGAAGGATGCTTTAACTTTAAAAGGTTGTGACTTTATTGCGGTATTCATAGTTCCTTCTTCGTCTTCGCAAAGATGAACTTCTTCTCGTCTCGTGCTTTTGAGCGACATGTCGGTGATTATCAATTCAAACATCAAATCCAACATTCTCGGGTTATAGCAGGTTTTATTCTTCCCTCCGTTATTGGTTCTACTATTTTTTTTTTAAATTAGACTGCAATTATTTATTTAAGATGTTGTTAAATAATTTAATTAATTGTAAATAAGTCAATAAATGTTAAAGTTAATTATTAAGAGAAATGCAGAAAGAAAATATTTCAATTAACAACTATAATTATACAACCTGTATTTGCACTCATGATTACATGAAAGGTATTATATTTGATTATTTTTTTTATTTTAGGGTTTAATCTTTTTTATAAATACAAAAGAATAGAAACAGCTTTTGTGCGGGGAGATAAAAACTATATTTAGTTGTTTAATCTTTCTCAAACATTTACATAAGGTGGTAACATTTTTATTATAAATATTAATTTATTAATCATAATGAACAACAAATGAAAATGAAGTAATTTATGCCGAAACTACCATGCTTTCAGAGACTAAGAAATAAATATAGTAACAAATTCTGAAAACTGCATTAATTGGATCATACATCCCCAATACCCGACAATTTTTGGCTTGGTGACAATATTAATGCATTTAACTTATGTTGTTAATGCCTTGTATACGAAGGACATTCTAAACCGAAGTTAATCTTATTTTTATACTGTACATTCATGAATTAATTTTAATTTATAAAAAAGATTTAATAAATATTTATGTATCCACCCAACGAAATATTGTGAAAAAAAAAAAAAAGTCTCCACACGCTTTGACAATTTGCATGAATGTCGTGATTTTGCTAGAATGGGCAAGCCTTGACGTTGTAACGAGCGAAGTATTTGGCAACAAATTTTACGTTGCAACATGTGCACGTGAATCATCCACCTTTCGCTATTATTTATTTAATTATTTTCCTTTTGGCTAAGCAACTACCATGAGAATATATACCTATCATAATAAGTCCTACCTATATTAATGGAAAAAATAAAATAAAAATCCATCACCGAATTATAGCTCTTCTAGCATCTACATAACGCTTACATAACCAGCTACAAAAAATATGTATAAGAAGCCAATTGCACAACTCACCACCCGAGAAAAGAGAAAACAATTTCACCTTTTTGCCAAACAAATTTCGTATAACATATTGTCGCACTGTTTTTACAATAATATTCATTATTTTCAACGGATTCTTTTCAATTAATCTCATGTTATTATTTAATGTATATTTTTTTTATTGAAAATACGATGGAATTTGAAGGTAAAGTAATCAAAATACGAAAAGATCACTAAAAAAAAGTCAAAACTGTAGTAGTTGCGTTAAAAAAAGAAACACATACGTGACCTATACAATTATGGACATTAGAAATTAGAAAGCAGAAAGTATCCTATAACATAATGCACACGAGTAAGGTCTGTACCAAACTGCAACCAACTTTTTTCACACACTCAAGTGATGATGATAAAAGTACATAGATGAATCATCATATTCATAAATGCTGAACAAGGCACATAAATTTTCTCCATATCCAAACACATATTTTATTTACTTGTTTGGTAGTAGAAGGAGGAAGGAGGATATATTTCAATACAATTTTCCAGCTCTATGATTTTCAACTTACCATCACGTCTAGGTAACATTAAAATATACTAACAATGTGGTATACAATATCCATGGAAAAGTTAAATAAAAAAAAAAAAAAAAGTAAAAAGTTGAGTTCAGTAATTAACACCAAGCAGAAGCCACGGTGAGAGTTCTTCCCATCCAGCCAAAGCAAATCCCACCATTCTCTACCTTTACAGCGACTCGGTTCTCGGCACCGAGTCTTGCCTTTATTGACTCAGCGACTCTCTGACTCAGTGGTTTCAACATGAACCCAGCCATGCCCATGCGCGCCCGCCACTTCCCAAACACCTCGCACCTTTCCACACGGTCTCTTCCTTCGCATGCCACCGTGTTAGCCACCTTCCGACTCAGTCCCTCCTCGATCTTAACTCGCCTCGAATTCTCCCGTGACATAGTAGACTCGAGCGAGTCAAAGAGCGCACCGTAATACGCGCATGACTCGGCCACGCGAGCCACGAACGGCGCCGTATTGGTGTTAGCTTCCTGCTCCACCAGAGTCACCACGCGCGGCGAGAGAGCCTTCACGCGCCGCAGAAGTTCGTCGCGCGGGTTCTCCGTGGAGACGCTCTCGTCGGGCATTCTGTAAAGCTTGAACGCAAAGTTCACCGCCAGCGTCTCGTCGGCGTTGCAACCCAACGACTCGCGAGTCAACTCGGCGAGTCTCCGACTCAGCACTTTGAATTCGAAACCTATCCCGAGTTGCTCCGCGAGTCTTCCCAGCATCACACCCGCGGGGCTCAGCCTCTCGTCAGCGCCGTTCTCGGCCACGGCGATGATCTTGACGGCGGCCGGAGTGCCCTTGCGACGCGCGGAGAGCTCGTGGAGAAGACTCGCGTATTGTTTCCCGTTGCCGATATCGAAATCTACCACGCACAGTTTCGCGTTCTCTGATTTATCGTCAAATGCGGATTCGATGATTGCGATGTTGGCGACCATGAGAGCGACCCTAAAGAAGAGAGAGTGTTCGAATAGCAACTGAGTCGACTCGGCGTGTTCCCTGCTGAACAACTCCGCAACCGGTGGTGCATACTCAACGTGACTCATCCGCGATTTGAGGGCGGAAACCATGCAATTTACGAAGCGTTGATCCGGATTCTGCGATAATCGGGTTAGGATCTGCGTCGCGGCGTCGAATCTCCCTTCTGAAATCGCTTCGGCGGCCTCGGTTAGGGACTGTTTGGCACTGATGGATTCTGCGGAGGAGTTGGACGACGTCGTAGAGGAAGTTGGCGATGACGATGCACGTTTCTGTGGAGTGATTAAGTTCTGTATTGTGTGTGACCATTCAGAGGTGGTAACGACCGAAACGGCGTCGCCTTGGTCGTCATCATTGTCTTCAAGAAGCTGCTTTTCCAACTCCTGGAGGCGGTGGTCTATTGAATTCTTCACCGGTTCCCGGGTCGCGCTTAGCCTGCTTTGAACCGGAGGGAAATTTGTGTTAGAGAGGATCGAACTCGCGACGGGTTGTGCGTTAACAGCGTTAGGGCGAAGTTGGTGGAGAAAGGACGCGCCGTAACGGTATGAGGGAAAGGCGGATAATTCAGAAGAGGCTGTGGAGAAATTGGTGGGTTGAAAAGTTCTGGGTTTTACCGAACGAAGTTGATAGTTCGGAAGGAGTTGGTTATTATTATTGCTAATAAGGTTGTTGGGGTTGTTGCTGAGGTTGTGGGTTTGGAATTCGGCGAGGGTACGTTTCCCGATGAGAGTGGATGTTTGGTGTTGGGCGATGTGGGATGAGGGGTGAAGCAAAATTGAAGGTTGGGATCGGTAGAGAGGGTGGTGGGCGGCGGCGGGGTGGCTGTTCATAGTGGTTTGAACTGCCATGGATTGAGTCGGGAATCCGGTTGCTCCGCCGTAGAATTCGGAGGGTCGACCACCTGGGAACCCCGGCGACGACATCCCACAGGTTTTGGCGAAGAAAAGAAGGAAGCGACTAAAAAGTTTGGATTTTGGAGAAACACATGGGACAAAGCAAGATGAGAGAGAGGGGTTGGGTTTCTTTTGCAGTGGGGGTTGAAATGTGGGAGTGATTCTGGTGAATATAACGGAGAGTATTTTAAATTCGATTAAGAAAACGAGTAAAGGTTTTCCTTCTTCTATTCCTTTTATTTTCTTGGATCTTTTCTGAACGGTACAAATAATGTGAATGCCTCTTTCGCATTTCGGATTGCACATCCTGACATCACTACCGTTTGATTCATTCAGATTCCAGATTCCATCTCTTCAACGGACCATGATGAAATCCACAGGAGCCGAAATGCAGTCGTATCTTATTCAATAATAACCAACTTCAACTCCTGATTGACAACTCGCAATTCCAACCCTCACGCGCTCCTGTCAAGATTTTATCACACACAAATTATTCTCCCCTGCTGTTAACTTTCCACTTATTAAACAAATTATTTATTTTGTCTACTTTTCGAGCCTTTACATATACATTATTTTATATTTTCAAATATATTTTAAATTATTGTCATGTTTATAACTTTTTTAAGGTATAACTATTTTTCTAATTAATTTTATTAATTATAATTAAGAACTAATATTTATTAGAATTCCGAAAGAATCTTCACTTTTCATATTGCATTAGTGGGTTTTTCTTATATGAAATGCATTTTGTTTGTTACTTCTATTTTTTTTTGTTGGCTTACATGTGTCTTAGTGTTTATTTTATGTATTAAAAATTCAAGCTTAGTGAAATTTATTATGATTATGCTTACCAACCATGTAATTTTTCTTTTAATCTTGCGATTCCTACGTATTAAAAAATATTATTGAGTAAAACTTTTGCCATAAATATTATAATACTGTGTGTTCTCGGAAATCCCTTTTAAAAGCACAAAAATTACGTCAAATTCTTTTAGAAAGTGAAAGTTATAATTTAGTGCTTTCTAGGTAACGTGAAATTTTACATTCCAGTTGAAAACGAACTTTTTGAAAAAAAAAAACAAACATGTTAATCGTAGTTCAATTTTTTTTTTCTTCTGTGAAAAAATATTCTTAAATAGATAGACATGTTTGGAATAATGGTAATACAAATCATCAATATCTATCTGTAAGTTTGATGATATCAACAATTAAAAATCAGTCAAATATTTAATTAACATAACAAGTAATAATTAATTTTGGGCTACAATTAACGGGAAAAAAAATCATTGAAAGTTACCGAATTAAATATGTTTGACTCAAAAAGTGAGTGTGTTTTATTTATTTTTATGAAATTTGAATTCTTTATTTAGATTATACCTTTTTTAAGAAATATTTCCCCACAAATTGTGGAATTTGCTTGCATTAAAAATTTATTTTTTACACATTAGTAATTTAAAATAATTTGAATTTCATTTCAAATTTGAATTAAAATTTAAATATTAGTTTTTTATATATGAAATCAAATTAAAAAAATATCTTTATGCCGTAAACTAATTATAGTATCATTATATTATATCTATAAAAATTGTACTTCTAAAAATTGTTTTTCATATTAAAAAATATAGCATATATTGATTTAAATTATGTATTTTATAACTTGTGTTTTAGCTTATACAAGTACATGACAAATGTTATTTTTATATTTAATATCGATGTAAAATATTTTCACACAAATATCTGATTATATACATGTGAATAGTTACCCAAGAAAAATATTGTCTTATATTGATACAATAAAATTAATGATAAATAATTTAGAGATGAATTTTTTTTTAAACTAGTATATTAGTAGACACTTTTCAAAAATGGTATAAGTTAGTGATAAATAATAATTTACTAAACAGTACTGAGATTATGTTTCACAAGACTTTTTTAACTAGGTTTTATTTTTTATACTAGTTTAATTATAAACAATATTTGGTAGTTTATTTTTTTTTAATTTTATTTCAAGAAGCATTTTTTTAAATGTTAGTTTTTTAGTTTTTTTTTTCCTTGTCTTCATAATTTTATTAAATTAATGGTTTACCTTTTTTTAAGAAAATGTAGTTTTTGTTATAATTCAAGGGGCACAAATCAGTATAACATTTACTTAATTATATTAAATTTATCTTAAACTTAATTAAAAATATTTCATATATATATATATATATATATATATATATATATATATATATATATATATAAGATACATACAATAATACAATATAAAAATATAACAATTAAAACTAAATAGTATATTGAGAATAATTTTATTGTAAACAAAAGTTACCGGAGTTGAAAGTTAATTAGAAATTAAATTATGACAAATTGGGTCATACGTACCATAAGTTAGTTTGAATTATTATTTAAAATATTTTAAAATTTATAAATTAAAATAAACAAAATGTTTAGAGTTACGTGTAATATTGCATTATCCATTCTTAATAACATTTTTTATTAATATAATTTGTTTTAAAAATTTATGAGATAAACTAATTAATTTGACATGTATGATAAATTGAAATTAATAATTGAATTATCATAAATTTAAAAATATTGTTTAAAACAATTGTATTTTTAATATTTATATTTATTTTTAACTATTATATTTGTTACTATTAAAATTGAACTTATTTTTTATTTGTTTGAAATATCAATGTTTTAACAAGGAAGATAAGAAGACTATGTTTGAATCATCTTACTTATTCACCTATTCAAATATTCATTTGATGTTTATATATAAATTATTTTGTCAGATATTATTTCGATGTCTATATATAAATTAAGTCTTCTGTTTGAAAGAAGAATTTTACCTTAAACTCGTATTTTCTCAAGAAGATGTGATTGATAAGATTTTTATCAATATAAACTAGTCCCTTCAAATTGAATTTTGGTAAAGTCGAAAAATCGGTATGTATACGAACAAATAACGTATATCTTAATCTCAAGTAAGCAAATATTAAAATATAATTAATTATAAATGAATAATAAATCACCTTTCTTATAACTAATGAGTAGTAATAAATTTTAAAAAATAGTTAAAATATGATAAATTCATATCATATAGAAAAATTAGCTAAGATTACACAAAAAATTCATGCCTATTAATACATAATAAGAATAGATTAAATGTTGAAAATTAATATTTTAAATATTTTTAATTTATTAATTTGAAACTTTCGTAAATTGTTGTTGAAGATAAACACGTGAGAAGTTAGAATTAGAATGTGAAGGCTGAAAGAGGTGTGAGGGAGAGGGAGTGTGGCGAGGGTGAGAGAGGCGCGTGGGAAGTGTGACGTGTGTGAGAGGCGCGTGGAAAGTGTGTTGAACAAATAATAATGTGTGGTGTTGTACTTGTAAGAATGAAAATGAATGGGTCTTTTATGTTACGAAGCAATTCTAAAAGTACACACATTCAATTCAATCCACTACAATAAAAAGTTCCCAGCCAATGACGTGGACTTTCGTGGACCAATCGAAACATGCTGTCAGGCGAACTATGTTTACCCCTCAGTCGCTTTAACATCTCTCCAGTTAATGTTTCTTACCGACACCAGCCAGTTCCCAACACCTTACTTCGCTATGTTTCCTTCCCACACACAATCAGGCAAAACATTATAATAAATAATTAAGCTAAATTTTTGTCTCCTATAAAACCATTTTAACTATAATACAAAATCAACCTCAATATATTATTTTGTTTAATATTTTTTATTCCATGATTTTGAAATACAAAATTGAGAACAAATTTTGTTCGTTACAATAATTTTATGTGGCTTAAGTAAAATAATATTGTTATATAAAAACTTGTAACCACTTTAAAAACTGTTTAAATTATTCTCCTCTTGTTTAAATATTGTCTCTTACGTTATTCCTGTTTTGAACATTTGTGGGAGAATACTTGGACTTATTATTACTATCTTTTCATTGTAATATGTCTTTTGATTTAAACAATGTATCAAAATTATTTTTTCTATATATTGTATTTTAAAAATTTATCTTTTGTAACTATACTATCTTGTTATATGCTCAATTGTCCATGAAATGCTTCACGATGTATAGATTTAATTGTTGTTGATAGGAGGAGAAGTTGCTCAACTTTATTGAGATATTATAGAAAAAGTTGTGGGAGACATAATAAATTGAACAATGCGAATGATACTTATTTTTCATAAAAATAAGTTTTCTTATTTATACCATATTTATAAATAGATCATCTCATACTCTTTTAAAATATATATATATATATATATATATATATATATATATATTTATTTTTTTTTACTTTTCTTCTTATCTTTTTTTTTATTCTTTTTTTATTTTAAATTTATTTACTTTTTAAGAATTTTTACTAATTTATAAATTTCTCAAAAAATGTAAAAATTTCCTAATATATTATGGAAGACTTACACCATACAACTCACATTTTCAACAATAATAATTATATACACCTCAAAATTTAAGAAGACTTATTTATGTTCTTATTAATTTTTACAGCATTTTTATCACTCAATTTTTAATTTATAAATTAACAATTAATCATCCATTATTAAAGTATCTTAACATAATTTTGGAACAAGAAAAAATATAAAAAAACTCTTCAATCAAAATTAGGTCTTCAATATAACAACGTCTTTTATGAGGATATTTGAGGAGAGATTCAAACATTAAGGTTGTCAAAGGAGGTGATTGATGATCACACAATAGAAAAAGTTTTACTGTCGTCTGACATTAAAAGATTATCGAAAATGATGAAGATGAGACATGAATAATGGTATTAAAAAAAATATATCACAGTAAAAAAATTCATTATAAAAATATACATTATAAACTAATTACATAATTTTTAATTACGATATGTGGTGGACCACTTATCATGATGTGTACTCTAACTTTGACGAAGAAAAATAATTTTTTCTAATACTTTCATCTATTGATTTATTGTGACATATATTACATAGTTGCATTAATTCTGAAATGATTTATTACGATTAATTAATTAATTATACAAAAAATAATTTATTTTATAACAATAATGTACAAATTATTAATATATTAATTCTTTCATCTACCTTTTATTTTCTTATGCTAATATCTATGATTAGTCTAAATAAATAAATACTTCTGCTACATAAACCAGCACTATTCAAATTATATGAATAAAAAATATGTACTCGTTCAGGTGTTTAATATATATATATTTTAAATCATTAAATAAGAGCAACTATTTTTGAAATTTCCTGATATAATTATTAATTTTTAAGAATTTTATTTTTATAAGATTCCATTAATAATTATTTGGAAAATTTAGAAGAATAAACAAAATTATTAATTGACCATAAACTAAAAAGAAGAATGAAGAAAAATATTAATTGAATCGGCAAAGGCAACGGTAAGAAATTGGGTGGGTATTTATGTAATTAATTTTCTTTCCGAGGGACAATAATGTAAAAGTGTACTAGTTACCGTTGAAATCAATTTCGTTCATATAAAGGTGAGAGGCTCTTGCCTACACCTCGTTAAAAAGTGATAAACAAATCAACAATTACTAAGAAAGAAAGCGAGAACCAATTGTTAGAGAAACGCCAGTTAGTCCAGAAATCAAAGAAAGGCGTTATTCGTAAGTTTCCTTTTTATTTGTTGTGAGATTTTGATTGTATTTGCATTGCATGCAAGTTTGGGTGAAATTTTTTTTTTATCTGCTTCTCCGTAATGTGAAGGAAGATCATGTTTCGTTTTTTTCTCCGGTTAGATTAGAAGGAGGAAATGTGAGGTTTTTTGGGTTTTGAAATCTTGGGTTTGTTTTTGGGTTGGAAAATTGAAATCTTGAATGGGGTTTCTCTTTCTTATAGTCGAGCACATGATTTCAGGGCATTTGTATCCAAGAATCACTTGAAATATCTGGATTCAGTTCAAGGACCTTGGTGTTGTATATTAGTATTTTATTTATATATTTATTTATTCAAAATACTGTTTTACTCAGTCCAGTTTGATGAGATGTAGTGACAAAATTGGTTGTTCTCTGAAAATAGAGATTTGGTGTAAGAGTTTTACCGGATGGTTTAATCATTTGACAATATATATGCAGGACGTTCATTTGAACACAACATTAACACAAATGGCAGCAAGAACTGGTCGCTTGCTTCAAAACCAAAACCTCAACGTCCATGTTAATGGTATATGGTTCTTTTGGTTTAAATTTTTTTCCATCACTAACTGATTTTCTGGTTGTTTTTGGTTTTTACTGTGCCTAGGCTAATTCTTAATACTGGTACAGGAGCAGGATCTGTTTCTGGGAAGGCAGATTTACCAGGACAGAGGAAAGGTAGGGCTGGGGGAAGAAAACCTCTCGGAGATCTATCCAATGCAAGTAACCTCATCAACCAATTTGATGGAAAGAAAGCCCTGAACACCGGCAAACCCTCTGCTAATCAGGCTCCAAAATTGCACAAGTCAAAGAATATTGAAAGTGACAAAATAATTGTCAGAAAAGCTTCTGAGAAATCACTTACTGGTGGCAGGAAAGCACTTTCTGACATCTCAAACTCGGGGAAGCCACAAGTTCCTGCGATAAAAAATAAAAACACCCTGAAATCTAGTTCTCTGATAGAGGAATCTTTTCCTCCCAGTGCAATTGCCGAAGAACAGATCTTGCACGATCATAAGAAATGCATGAAATCACAGTTTGAAACTGCAGACGTGCAACAATTTTTCAAGACTGTTGGACTTGAGGATGGTAATTGTTATTTCATTTATATTTATTTTTGTTATGGTTTTTTATCCGATGCGTTTTGCCTTTTAACTTGGGCTACTTATTTGAATTATCGTTTTTGCCAGTTGAACTTTGTGAATGGTAATGATGTTCATTTTGGTGGTTGGTACTTGGTTTTTACTTATTCATTGATTTATGATTAGATGCAGATGATCACATGGCAATTTCCTTTGAACTGCCTGCAATAAGTAAACTGAAGGTTTGTTTTGTAGTTCCCTGTGTTTCTCCTGGTTTTTCTTTGTCCTTCCCCCGTCTAAATACTATTTATTTCTCCATCCTTCCAGTCTGAGAGTGCATACTTGGAATTAGAGGAGGTACCTGAGCGGTTCCCTGAAATGCAGTCTCTATCTGCTCAGCATGGTTCCCCAGCACACTGCAAGACTCCAGCCTTATCAAGTTACCGTACAATGTGGAGTGACTCTACTGTCAATTTCAAGTTGATAGAAACACCAAAATTTTCCAAAAATTGATTTCTAAAACTAGATGTTTTTGCCACAGATGGTGTTGGCAATGATGGTGGTATTTTTTAGGTTTAATGTTTTGTTCATCTTAGATATTTTGTGCCACAGATGTGTGATTGTGGCATTTTGTTTTAGTAGGCATGTTCATATCTGTAATATGCGGAAAAAGTTTATTCCAATGAATGTCTTTCTTAGATTTTGGTTGAACGTTGAAAAGCTATTTTACCTTTTTCTTATCACAAAATATAACCTTTTCTTAGTCACAAAACATAATCTTTTCTTAGTCAAAAAACATAACATGGTAGTATTTTTCTTAGATCGTAGGATGACACTAAAATGATGTCATTGTATTTGAACATACAAAAAAAACATTTGCATACACGATAATACTGAATCAATTGATGATATCGAGTGCTTCTTTATAAATAGTACTACCTACCGACTTAGGAGTAATTCTGATAGCATGATGGAAATGTGCTTGAACTTTTTGATTATTGCAGCATAAGCCACAATTTACTTCTACCAGCGACTTGGTTTCATATATCGAAAAGAAAAAGCTACTTGGTTTCAGACACGTGCCCTAAGCTTACTTAACAGAATTATTTTAAATCACAAATCATAACAATAGCAACACATGCACAAAAGTACCAGTTGTTAGACTTTTCTAATTAAATCATTTTCCGTTGTGTGATACTTGTTCTGTTTTGGTTACCTAGGCTTGTTGTATATATAGCCATCTCTAATAATACTATCAGTTTCGTGTGATCCAGCATACCTCTTAAGGTCACGCCATATACATATTTTTTTCTAATATCCTTTAAAACGAGTATAAAATATGCAGGATCTACACAGGTAAAAAAATGTAATAACCCCATAGTCGATATAAGGTGATATATATGGGGGCATAGATAGATAAAGTATATAGAGTTTAGATGGATTGTGAATTGTGCAAGTTTATCTACTCATTCTTTAATTAGACAAACTCTCCAAGCTGTTTATGCATCATTAGGTGGTGAAGTAAGAGAAGTCACGGGGAAATTGAAGATTTAACACATTAAACCTGACAAACTGTTTTTTCTTTTCTTTCTTGAGATCGCGTTTAGAGAAGTGAAATCATTGTTTTTCTTTTCTTTCACTGAGCAAGAACTTCAGCTCTCAACCACTCAAAATTTATTTATTTTTAATTATTTAATTCACTCATTCCTTCAAATTGCCAGTCTTTTGATTTATTTGACGTGAAAATCGCAAAAGATTCTAAATGTCTCAAATTTTGGTATATCTTTTTGGAATGGAATATTCACAGAATTCTCGTTAACACAACAAACCTTATTTAGTGGTATTCACATCAAATTCATCCTTTTCATTTTAATCAAGTCTCAGAGGCCTTAATTGATTAATAATTTGTGTTTTGTTTTTAGATTTATTTGAAAAGATATATTATAGACATTGTTTATAAATCTTGTTATCACATATGTATACTAGCTATATTTATCTGGTATTTTATTTTCATTTATACATGTGAGTTAGTACTACATAAATATTAAATATACTCAATATTTCATATTGATTCGAAGTTAAAAAATGTTATTTTATTTTATTATATTATAAAATAAATGTTTATATATTTTTTCAACAAATTCAGCACAACATTAGCTAAATATAACTAAAATATGAATACCAAATGCATGTTTCTTAGTTCTTCACTTTAGTTTTAAAAAATAATAGAAATAATTAGGGATGAATTGAATTTTGTCATTAAATATTTAATTTATATAAATATTATTATATACAAAAATATTGGATATTAATGCTTTTTTAATAAAAAAATTTAATCACTAATACATTCAAAATAAAAAGTCAATAATAAATATGTTGGTAGATAATATTATTTAAACAATAATATTATCTAATATTAATTATTAAAATATGTTGATTTAGTTGATAATTATAAATATTAAAAAATTAAAATAATCATAAATAATAGTAAATACACTTTTTCTGTATTTTTTTTCCTTTTGAATTCAATATAGCTACTGAACGTAGTTTAATATAGCCACATGCGTAAAATAAATGTAGAGTATAATATAATTTAGTGTAAAAATGTAAAATAAATGTAGAGTATCGTAAAATTTTAGTGTAAAATTTAACGAGACTCGTAGGCACTTAAACTTTCACTATAAAACAACGAAAATATAAAGTTCTTATAAATTAAATCGCTAAGTTTCACTATAAAAATAATGGAAATATAAAACAGGTTATTCAGAAAATATAAAACTCTTCTAAATTAACTAACTATTTTTCTTCTGAAAACTTACAGGTTATTCTCATTTCTTTAACTGGAAAGGAAAAATATAAAACTCTTCTAAATTAATTAACTATTTTTCTTGAAGAGGGTTATTCACACTTATGTGTAAAGAAGATTCATTTGCTTTACCTGCGAACAGACTGTTTTTAACCTTGAACAAAATGTCAAATTCTTGTTAAATTGAACTATTCTTGTAATAGAAAACATGACTTTCTTAAGCTGACTTAACTCTTACAGGACTTCAATGGTTACAATGTACTTTATTTTTGTGGTGTGAGGGTGTTTGGATGTCTAAAACTGTACACATCCATCCAGTAGGAGTGTTCTGAAATTTATATTTTATAACTTCTTTTGGATTGTGATAAAGTTTAATTACATTAAAATAGAATAAAAAGTAATACATTTCTTATGAAGAATACACATATATGATGGAGGAGTTAGATAATTGATCATAGACTTCATCCTACGCCATCATGTTACAATTTCACCAAACTATGCATAGCAAAATGATCCGTTTTACATAACATGTACAAACAAAATAATCACTTTTCGTACACTGTATTGCAGGAGTATAAAACTAGTGACCCCAGAGTCTCCCCTCGATGAAGAGGACACTAGTGACAAAAGTAGTACACACAGCATTTATATAGCTCACCAGCTGAAGCTAATGGACTCAAAATGTAGGTCATCTGTGGAACAAGAAGTGCAAATTGATGCTACTTCATGTCTCATTTTTCTTGGACCACTAACAAGAACTCCAATGCTTGATCCATCACAGCCAGAGAGTATTTCTGCAAAAAGAATGAAAAATTTCCTGTTTAAGGTTTTACTTGAACATCCAAAGCGGTATTTACTATTATAAAATGCATCTAGAAACTTGTTAGCACAAGTAACGGTCTCATAGTTTTAGTTTCATATCTTTCATTAAGCATTACTTAGATCACTAAATTTTGGTTTGATGTCATTTAGTAGAGAAATAGTCAAAATAAATATATTTAACTAAACTTCAGGAAATGTAACTAACTAATTTGAAAAACTTGGGACAAAATAATAAAAGTCTTACTTTTTATGTCAGGTCTTTCTCCATAATGTACTTTGGCTGTTTGGACAAGGGATTGGAGGGGAAGACTCCCTAATTCTTTTTCATCATTGTAGTGTCCTGAACCCGGAGAAGTTGATTGGTTTGATGAGTAAATGTTTTTAATCTGTTCCAAATCCGTGTTCTGTTTCTTGTTCCATAGGAAAGCAGATGTTGCTACAATGGCTATAGATATGCATATGAACAACATGCTTAGACTAGATCTTGAGATATTAGGGTATATCAGGTCCGTGTTATGGTCAATTGGATATATGTAATATCTAGTTAGGATTCCAATAAGTAGAAGGAATACTATAAAGGAGGATGAGATGATAATGCTAAGATAGAGCCAACTGTTTTTTCCTAAAACTGCAGACACTGGTTCATCTAATGGATTTGACTTGAACCATGATGTTTGAGTAAGCTTTTGGTCTTCCATGTCTGGTTGTTGATCTCTGGTTACGTAGGCTTCAATCTGGAGCTGCAGGCGTGAGATATCGAAGGTGGTGCTGGTGGTGGAAACTGGGAGGATGAGGTCTATCATGGTGAGATCAATAGACTTCTTGAAGGCACATACAAGAAGAACTCTAGGAGTTTTGCCACCTTCAGTGCTGGCCTTAAAGACCAGTGAACGAATTATGGAAATGAAAGGAGTAATGCCACTTCCTCCGCTTATCAACACAAGCAATTCATGCCTGCCTGCATGCAAGTTTCTATCAAGTCCTACCTTGTGATTTGATTTTGAAATCTTTCGAAGAATTAAATTCATTAAAACATGAGAGGAACGGTTTCTCTAATAAATCTCTAGTACCTTGAGTAATAGGTTGAATCTTGTCCATAGGGCCCTTCAATGGAGACATCAAGATGGGATAATGGAGATGAAGAAGAGAGTTTCTGGTACAAAGTATTGGACCAGGTTCCTGAACTTTTTATGACAACGCTTAAGGTGTCAGGATCAGTATCACTGCAGGAGGTAATTGTAAAAGGGTGCCACTGCAACTTGGAAATACTAGGAACATTAATGAAAATGGTGCTTGTAGGGGCATAGCACAGTCCTGTGGTAGAAAAATGAGAGAGAAATGAAAAAATATAACTTTGAATGGAATCAGATGCACAGTTCATTAAGAACTTGTCAGAGTCTTTCATTCACCTAGGTTCTTGGAGAAATTTAATTCAACAGCTTCACAAGGCAAAACTCGGGCAGAAACCAACCGAATTTTCTGCTGAGACTGTAGGAATCTCAAGTACCGGTCGATCATAAATAGGTAAAATCCTGGAAGCACTGTGCAAGAGGAGGAAAATCCCAAATGTAGCACATAGAAGACTACAAAGACAATGTAGAGGTAATGAGTGTAGAAGAAGAGCTCAAAAGCTTTTCTCCTTATGGAAGGTAAGGTAGCAGCCCACATGATTAATCCAGCAAGTAGAGAAACTTCTCCAGCCACATTTGAGACTCCAACTTTGTTCCATTTGAATATCTGCATGAAAGTTTGTGGACTGTCAGTTACATAGCTTGAAGATGTCTCAGTAGTTTATGATTGAAAAATGACCAAAAGGGCATTGGCTTTGAACAATTTAATTTCATGTGTTACGTGGAGTCCTATCAAAAAAGTATGTCATGTGAAG